AGTGATACTTCTGGCTTCCCCAGGTGGTCTTGTTTAATTGCTTGCCTTCTCCTACTGTGTTACAGAGGCCATTCTGCCTGGCAGGAAAGGCCCTGGACTGAGCAACCTGGTTGAGAAGCATCTGGCCCAGGCCATGTACTTCAGCAGGTATTACTCACGCAGTATGGTGCAGTGTTAGAGTGGTGGACTGAAACTGGGGGATTCAGGTCCTAGCCCCAGTTTGGCCATGTAGCTCACTGAGCCTGTCACGGACTCAGCCTAACCTACCTCGACAATCACCTACCCTGCAGATGACCCAGAGAAGAACCATGAACGCTGCCTTGGAAGAAAAGGTCAAATATGAACTTATGAACTGACCAACTAACATTGCTCTGCTTATGTGACGCCCACAAGCAGATTTTGTTTGGGCAAGCAGCAAGTGAGCCCTTGATGGTACGAATGAGTCAAGTGCTGGAAAATGAAGATCTGTGTGCCCCGTGACCCCAACCTCTCTGCCCCCCACCCAAGCTAGACTGCTGCTCTCAAATGTAGGGCTGGCACTGTCACTGAAGGAAGACTGGCTCAATTGCCAGTCCTGTGCAATGAATGGGAGACATGAAGGCCATCTTGTTAATCTCAGGCAGCAAAATGACTTGGAGTGCACCTGGGGACCAGCCTCTTGTCCATGGTAATCAGCAGAAACACCTGTTCTGAGATACATTTGGCACTGGCTTTTAGGTCTTCATCCTCTACAAGCAGGGGTTAGCAGAAAGCAGCTCTCCGGAGGTTTTAGACTTCATCTCCCTATTTTTGACTCTTGGCCATGCTGGCAGTGGCTTCTGGGAGCTGAAGGCCAAAACATCTCCCCACCCCTGCTCTATTGAAATGAATTCTAAATCCTAATTCCTGCTATTGTGCTGAATGCATATACCTTTGCATTGGACAAATGCTGCCATCTTTTCACCCCCCCCATCTCTGTTCCCCTGTCATAGCAAATTTTAAATTGGAAGTTCCTCATGGCAAGAGACTGTTTTCTTTTTACCACTCTGTAAAACATTGTGTACATTGATGGCACTGTGTAAATAATACCAATAACAGACCTCACATTGGAACAGAGAGATCCACAAGCCCTGTCTTGGCTGACTTAGGGCAGCAAGCAGGGTTAGCAACCTCCACGCACTGCCCTCGTGGCTGCTAATTGGACAGAGAAAAAGCATGATAGGGGCAACCAGGGCAGCAGAGGCCATGTCCTCACTGCCCTGGCCACATGAGGCAACCTCTGTCCCAACTGGGCTATTGACCCTGCCCCCGTGAATGCAGCTGGAGAGGCAAAGGACAGGACTGATCTGGGTCAAGGCAAGATGGAGAGGACTTCTAGCCAGACCCCTTGTATTGCCAGAACAAACAATTCAGAGATGCTTGGTTTGTTTTTCGCAAGGGTTCTCTTACATCAGAATTTGTATTTTTATTTAAAACGGCATGAGATAAGATGAGCTAACCATGGTCTGGAAGCAGCTGGCTTCTACTCTGCATTTTGCATCAGGGGTGATTACTAAGCAAAACAGACATGCTCTAGGCAAAACAGAGTTCTGATGAGGTTGGAGAAAATGCAATGTCCAACAAACGGCTGCAGAATAAGGTTAGGCTAATGGGGATCGTAGAGTGAAGTTCATCCACCCACCCTGAGGACTAGAACTTTCTAATGTGTGAAGATGTTTTCTCCAATGAATCCTGAATCCAGATATTTATTCTCCTGCATAAGGGACATTTTCATCTTAGGGATGAACAATCTAGACCTCTTCTGTAAGTGGCTGGTTTAGCGATGACCCAAATGCAAGCACTATAAAAGTTTCTGAGGTTTATATAGATATGTAAATGAGCACACAGTCACTGATGTAAATAAAGCTTTATGGAGCAATAGGAACAAAAAGATGGGCCCCTGCCCCAAGTTGATTACAATCCAAATACTGACAAAGGGGGGAAGGTGTAATGCCCTTGATCTTTTGAAATGTGAGAAGGGGTCTAGCAGGACCATTTCAAAGCAGTTAGTAAAGCAGGATGAGTTAGCCTGAGTAGGGCAATAGTGAAAAGGTGAATATATAGAAAGACTTTTCAGACATCCTTTAGCAAGATAGTGACTGCCAGATGCTTTGGACTACAACAACCATCATATCCAGTTTTATACAGACTGGGACTGATGGAAACAGAAGTCCAACAGGTCTAAAGGGCATTTGGGGAAGGCTGGTTAGTCTCAAAATGTATATCAAGTTAGTCTCAAAATGTATATCAAGTTATTAACTTGTTATGGAAATGATTAGTGAATAAACTAGAATACTTGTTTGTTGTTCAGTTCCTAAGCATTTATTTACAAGCTCTTTAGCAAAAATTCTCTGCTTTTTCCATGTGTTTGAACAGAACTCATATATGAACTCTTGTGGTCTTGAAAGAGGTAACAGGAAATAATAAAATAAAATGATAAATTGAAAAATATTGCATATATTGGCTACAGGAGAAGCAAAGGTTCAAGAGGAACAAGCATTAACACTTCACCCAAGTTTAAGAGTTCAGCAAGGCAACAAATTTCTTCCTTAGAAAGGCCAACCTAATTGCCAACATTTGAAATTTGTCACCAATTTTGTCACTGCAAAGAAAGTATTCACACCCAGATGAAATGATGAAGAGAAAGTCAATTTACAACTTTGCGGTGAAGCTTGCAAAGTTTTTGTTAGATTCAACTTACAGAATCTGCATTTTAATGAATGGCACATCCCAAAATTAATGTCAGGTCAACAGTGATGGATCTTCTAGCTTTTCGGTCTTTGGATCTATTGCAAATGGACTCCAACGCCAAAGTAAACCCTACCACTACAGGACAAACCTGAAACGAGTCCCCTCTTCCCGTACTTTCCCTTGAAATGCCAAAACTCATATTAATGTAAAACCAACTAAAAGTTCACCTGCAAATTGCAAACTTTGGAGATCCCCAGATCCCTTCATCACCCAAAGTGCTGCAAAAAGCAGGTCTTGGTGAGGGACAACCGGGAAGAGAGGACTCAGCTGATGCTGCAATCGCAAACTCTACACGCTTGGTATGCCAAGATGGAGTGGGGGGAGGTGGGGCCTGCAGACATCCAATTCGGCTCGGCAGGTCATGTGATCTGGATCCGCTCCTAAGGTTTGTTGGGGCCAGGAAGGTAGCAACTCCGATGCTCCCATTTCTGTAAATATAAAATTCCAGCTTTTACTTAGATGAGTTTCCATCCTCCAGCACTTGGATGGATTTCTTATTTGATCTATTATTCTGTCAAGTACCAACTTTAACAACTTCTTATATCTTTTGCCGAATAAGAGCCCTCCCCGATTCCAAAGCTTGACTACTTTCGAGGGAACAAAGCGTATGTAAACCCAGCCGACCGTCACGGAGGACAGGACGGAATGGCCTGTCTCAGTGTTAGATGGGCGGCACCTGCAGCCAATCTAGGGGTCACATTCGCCTGCCCGGTAACCAATGAGAGGCGACTACGCTCTGAGACTTTATCCTCTTGCTCTTCGTACACCGACAGCTGATGCAACCTTGCTGCAATCGGTCGTATCGCTGCCGCCGCTGCCGAGTGTTGCTCTCTGCGCTGTAAAATAGTCCTGAAACACCCTCCTTTTCTTGCTGATACCTGGCCAGTGTAGGAGTACTCAAGGATGCAAATTCAAAGACCTGGGCCCATGATCTCATTCTCCACTTAATGACTGCTGCTTGGAACATTATTTAACTAACAAAGTGCTAGGTGCCATATAGGGAAAGGACAGGCCCATGCCCCAGTGATTTAAATCTTCAGCAGGTGTGACTAAAAGGGAATAAATTTTAACTGAGACACACATGTTACTTTTGTGAATACCCACAAAAAAGCTATACAAGCTTTTGCATTACACTGCATTCCTCTTCTGGAAGGTTGTTTAGAAGAATCCACTAATTCCTTTTTAAAAGTTTAGCTGAAGAAGAGTTTGGTGTGATGTGAAAGCCTACTACGCCATTCCGTGAATATTTATTGGCATTTGTGAAGGCAGTATTGTATTTTCTCTGAATTAGACTGACAAAGTAGAGATGAAGTACAGATAATTGTATGGGAAGAAGCATGTCTAGGGGCCCAGTTTTGTTTGTACTGGAAGATTACTGCGTTTGCAACCTGTAGTGTTTTGAATTATGCAACTCACACCTTGTAGTCTCCTGGTTCACAAGTTTGTTAAATGGGAAGATTAAGGACCTAATTAGTTAAGGTGGTTTGGAAGAGAGGAACAGGTAAGGATCAGAAGAAACTTGACATACTTGAAAATGCAGTGCTGAAGCACTAATTTTCAACAGAAGTAAAGGAAGCCCCATCTACGGCAGCAAAAGTTAACCAACACAGCTGTACCAATTTTCTCCAACTCTCTAGCGAGTAAAGAAAGGTCAAAGAATCAGAGGAAGCCACTGACTTGGGCTGGCAAGTGATTTTTCCTGTTAGTCCTCCCTGAAAATCAGTTTAATTCTAGGAATTGCGATGCAACAAGTGTGTCACTGAGCATATGTAGAGAAAAATTTATCTTTACAATAAGTGCAAGTTACCACCAGACACTTGGTTTAGGTGAGCATGGCTCCAGCCAAATTGAGCCAAGGCACTTATTCATTAGCCATATTAGAAACTGAGTATCAGAGCTCAGCTGACAGAAAGAGGCAAAAAAGACAAGGTGATCAATGAGCATGTGCAAAGTGCACCCACCTCACCAACTATCTACAGCCCCGTTCTGGATGAATAAGGAGTCAGTGCCTGAATCCCAGAGCTTCCCCCCAGCCACTTTCTTTGCACTCCTTAGTGTTGGGAGATTAAGGGAAGCCGATTCACCCCCCCGCCCCCCGCAAGGGCTTGCGCAGCGATGAGCAGGGACAGAAGAGAGGAGCAAGGATCGGTGGATGGATACGCGACAAGGCTGCTCTACGGCCAGGAGGCTGACGCGTTATATAGGGAGACTCCACCCCGCCGTGACTCATTCCCTTCTCGACACAGCAACAAGAGGAGAATTAGACAGAGAGAGGCACACGAGCCAGATCGAGGACATGGCTTTCTAGTGCTGCGTGGATCTCGAAGCGAACAAGCGTGTTTTGCACGCTGCAACGAAACCAACATCATGGAGTGAGTACATTCTTGGGGAGCGCCAGTAGGCAGCGTCCACCTCCCCATTCTCCCTCCCCGCCATAGCCCCAGGATGGAGGGAAAGAGGATGCTAATTCGGTTGCCCGTGGCTTTCCTGGAGAGGTTGGTTGGAGACACAAAGAAGAGCGTTGGGAACGTTTCTAGACGGGGAGGGAGAGAACGTTTCTAGACGTCTCCATTTTTTGCACTTGTCACCTTCCGCGGCTGGATGGCTGGTCTGCCTTCTCTAGGGAAGGAAGCAGGTGCATCATGCCAGTCCCAGGGGGAGAAGGCGATGCACGATCTATGTCTGTGTGTGGCGACATTGCTCAGCCTCTTCCTCAAGCATACAAAGCAGAAGACGCGATGTTCAGCTCCTGCCAGACCTCTTGATTTGCAGGGGCATCGTGCCTGTGAAGTGGGTGGTACATGGGAAGAAAAGAGGCCAGCCCATCCATGCCTGTCTGGAAGGCTAGGCTTGCAGGGTTTATGCACCCCCCAGCTCCACCTCACCAAGTAACCACCCCCTGGATGTGTATGGACTCTGGGGAACCTCAGGCCTAGGGGCCAAATCCAGCCCTCTTGGGGTTTACTAAAGGGCCCATTCCATATCCCAGAATAATGGATTGGCGATCTCCCAGCTTTTGTGCAACCTTTTCCTGTTATAAATGGTTGAATGGCTTTTCCTAAGGGTGCTTGCTAAGGAAAATTTTAATTTTAAAAAATGCTGGCATTTTTGGTATTTTGTCTCTGCCCCTTTTGGCTTCAGCTCCTCCCACCACTGAAATGTGGTCCTCAACAAGGTCTCAAAATGTTGGTCCTCTGATTCAAGAGACTATTGGCCTCTGATTTAGATAATGCTCACCCTGGGGCGAGCTGGGATGGGGGGGATCAGTCACCCCCCCTATAGGCTTGTTTTGCAAATCCTACTATATACAGACTGTATCGAAATCAGCTGAATTCTCTTAATGGAACACAAGTCTGTTCAGCATGGGTAAGCTAAGCCTGGCTAGAGAGTAGGACGGGGTTATTTTCTTGTCCTGGTCTTGCTAGGACAGTGATGCAGATGAATGTCTAACCTATTTCCTTTGTGCATTAGGTCTTTTGCCGCCGCCACCACTATCCCTGCCTGCAGGAGCCAAGTCACTCCTTGCCAGCTGCATCCCAATCCTGCACTGAACTTTAGTAATTTCCATTACAATGTCCCTACTGGCAGCGCTGACCCTGGACCTGGACCTCACCATGATCCCAGCTAGCACCATGTCTTGCAGGCCGGAGCTGCTCAAGCACCGGCTGCCCCATGCCGGTCACTGTGAGCTGCTAGCCGGACCTGTGGATGAGGCCTTTGCCCTCAACATGAACCGCCCACTGCTGACAGGTGAATAAATGTAGTGGGGAAGAGGAAAAAGAGCTGGAATTTCAGGGGTGGGGTGTATAGTTCTCAGGTGCAATGGGAAAGGAAGATCTTTTATCTAAAGTCATTAACTAGCTTATATTTATATATATGCGCCACCCTGTCGCAAAGGCCTCAGGACGGCTTACATATCCGTATGATTTTATTTCATGACTAAAATTGTAACTACATGACCAACAACCAAAGTATCAGCTAAACAACATTTGAGAGCCACTGAAATTATTTTGTAGATGGTTGTTTGCTTGTTTACAGCTTACTTTGTTTTGCTTGTCTGTAGGCGATGGCTTCTCAGACTGGATGACGGAGCGTACAGACTTAGCCACGCTCCTGAGTGTGTCAGGGGAACCCTCACCACTCTCACTGCCTTCCCCTCCTGCTCCGGACCTGGAGGCCATGGCCTCATTACTCAAAAAGGAGTTGGAGCAGATGGAGGATTATTTCTTGGAGGAATCACTTTCACCAGAACAGGTAGCACCTAGCACCCCTCCCTCTGATGGGAACTTCCACTTCCCTTTTGGTGATGGCTTCCAACCCCAGGGCCATCACAATACAGCTACCCCTCTGCAGACCTTGGATTCAAGCTGCTTAGAGTTGCTGGAGCTCTATGGAGGAGACGTACCTGCCGAGCTCCCCCTACAGGGCAACGAAGTACATGTCCCAGTACAGCGGTCACCTGTCCTAACACCCAAGGGAGACCGGCGGCAGAAGAAGCGAGACCAGAACAAGACAGCAGCCTTGCGGTACCGGCAGCGTAAACGGGCTGAACATGAGGCCTTGGGGGATGAATGCCAAGTCCTAGAGGCACGCAATCGTGAGCTTCGAGAGAAAGCAGAGTCTATTGAGAGAGAGATCCAGTATGTCAAAGACCTGCTCATTGAAGTCTATAAGGCACGAAGTCAGCGCCTGCGCACCACCCCCTAGAGGCAGGGACTGCACCTAAATCCCCTCCCTCCCCCCACCACACCTTCCCCCTGCCTTAAAGAAAAAGCCTAAGGAGAAACCAAAGAGATAATGGGTGTAGAAAAGAACAGAGCAAGCATGTAGGAATAAAGCTTGAGAATTGTTGGGAATGAATAGCCTGCATGACGCTTTGAAGGGTAGGGCTGAGTAGATGAACTGTGCAAGGCAGATGTAGAATTGTGGGCCACAGGCTCTGTGGGTCAAGTCAAGGCATAGAGTGGACTCTGCATGGGATATTGGGGCTACTCAAGTAGGAAAGGCCAAAAATTAGCCAGTTTTGGCAGTCTCAGGATCCTGGAGTAGAATGTGGCAAGGTGGTCCCTTTTCCCTTACTGTGTCTCCCTTCTCCGTCTCCCTTCTCCCCACTCCCCTCCCAGAACAAACCAACAAGAAACAGACAACAGTCTCCAAGCTGTGAGATGGCCTTTTTTTGTATGTACACTTCATAGCACTTCTTTCTTATGCTACCTTTTCTCAACTATGCACCAATAAATACTTGCTTAAAATGTGTGCTATGAGTCAAACAGTGAATCTAAGCCTAAGCAAAGCAACTCAACACCACACAGCTAGAAAATTCCAAGGTTTATTAATAGAGATGCACCAACTTTTCACTCTGCCTGCCTAAGAACAGAAAGTTTTGACAGCAGGATGTTACCAGAAGTAAAACTTAGGAACCAATTGCAAGATATGCCCTCCACCTCAGTTCCACAGATTGGATGGGACAGATTCATTAGACCAAGGGCTCTGGAGGCTTTAGCTTCATTCCAAGAGATGTCAGCAAAGACCATTTGCACAATTGGATGGACAGGATTATTATTAATAGAAATCATCATCTCCTTTTTCCACTGGCTGCTGATTCTGGATCTGTTGCTGCTTTCGGTATAGCTCAGCAACCTGAAGATAGAAAAATATATTTTATGGAATACTGTCACAGGAAAGCTGGTTCCTTAAAGCCCTAAGCTGCATTTATTAAGATTGGGCCAATATTTTGCAGCCCCACTGGTCAAAATGACCTGAAGGTGATTCCTCCTTTTCCTACCTTAGCCAGGCTACAACCATTAGTAGGACAGTAGAAGGAATTGAGGCAGTTTTTTGCCTTGTCTGCTGATGCAATGCTTGTGTGATCATTTTGCCCTGTAATTCCATTCATATCCGTTCTACTGTCTCTGTACCTGGGTGCTGGCAGTGGCTTCCTCTGGTTTCTTATCCTCTCGGACACGCAGGAATCTGGGGAAGCGTAGAGAGATACCCTTTTCTTCATCCACCTGCAGTGGAAGCACATGTTTGCCATGAAGCTGTAGATCTTGCAGTGTCCCATTTGCTATTTCCTAAGGCAATTTCTTTCACTATCAACAGAGGATATCTGAGAAATACAGCCACTTACAGAGCTTGGTGATTGGGCTGAAATGCACATTGCCTCAGAGGCTACTAAGTGCTTCCTAAGCAATAGCTTTTGCAATTTTACATTGGTTTTGAAAGGAGATTTTGAATATATCAATTAAGGGAACATACGAAGCTGTTTAAATGCAGATGAGGAAACAAAGAGGACTATGCAAAGAGACCCCAGAACTGAAAAAAATGGCTCAGGATTTCCAGTTACACAAATTTACCTAAAAGCCATTGCTTTATTTCACAGGTAGGTAATGCCTACAGGCACTCCCATACACCACTTAGCACCCGCCAAGGTGCCCTATTCCACTTTGAAGAAATAGCATACTAGCAGCCAAATGAGGGCCTTCAGATGACGCTATTTGCATCTTCCATGAATGCATCTGAGCTGTACTAAGGATTCAGACATTAAGAAATGAGGATGGTGCACAGCTAGTGTTTTCCTCTGCAACATGTCTAGTTGCTAAAGTGAAGTGGAAAGGGAAGAAGGTAGCTTCCCATTGCAGCCTGGTAATTTGCAGAAGGGGTTAGAAAGAGTACAGGATTAGAGAGGGTCGCAGTAAACAAGTTTGGGAAGACAGTAAAATCAGTGGGGAGGAGGGACAGCAGGGGGACTGAGGGAGCCTGTTGGGTTGTATAGGAAGGATTGTGTGCTTGCACACTCAAATGGGCGAGGGATGCATGTGTATTATATGAGAGAGAGAAACCATTTATGGATGAACCTGAAAAAAAATGATTGGCTTTTCATGTGCAGACAGAGGGGAAGGATGTGTGTGAATGTGTGCATACTCCATGCCTGAGGATACTTGGTTGAGTCCATGTGTACATCTCCCTGTCTATGGTTGGTAATGGGAAGGGAGGGGAATGAGTTGGCTGGCAGAGACAGCAGGGGCAGGGGGAAAAGGTTTGCTTTCTGGGAAATAGGTGTCTGCACAGAAAATGGGGGGTTCAAAGGTCAGGTCTGAAATATTAATCATTTTGGGGAGCAGGTTACTTGTCCTTTGTGACTAAGCCATACCTTCCACAGCAGCTTTTTCATGATGGTACCTGGGATGTCTGAAATTTATCCCCTTATGAAGAAATAATGTGCTTCTGTGTCAGCAGAAGTGCAGATTAGAAGTAGGCACCCTACCCTAATTGGTGGTATCTGCAATTTTAGAGGCCCAGTCTATCATGGCTTGGAATAGGGCCTTTGGTATTGTAGTCCTCAGTTTCTAGAACTCTCTCATTGCTACAAATTAAGCAGGTATCAACCCTTTCGTGCTTTTGGTGCTTACTGAAAGCATACCTTTTCCTACAGGCATTCTCAGTACGCAAAGTTTGTTTTGTAATACCACTAGCCATAACTGCATGTTTTACCAAACTGTAAAACAGTATCACAGGAACAAACACAAAGTAAGATAATAAACAACCTGGGCATTTAAATCGCTATTTTGGCAGCCCTGTATTCATAGCATTTCTTGTAATTTAGATATCCCTGGGTACTTTGGAAATAGGATGCCTTGAAAATAACTGCCAGATCTCGTTAAACAATAATTCTGCATTCTTTGCAGCATGTCACATAAGACATTTGCCTAAGATAGATACCAAAAGGTAATGTATGCAGGGTATGTTCATCATGCATGTTCCAGAACTGCAGAATGTGGCTGGGAATTTGGCATAATTTGTTTCCATCACTGATGGTGCTGTATGAAACCAAAAGGTTTCCTATGCTTTTCTAAGTTGGCAAAGTTAAAGCTGCAATCCTATACTGGCAACAAATCCTATTCAACTCAATGGAGTTTTTGAGTATATGTGAATAAGACTGCAGTATTAAATAAATCTTTCATACAATAGTAGCCATCTTAAAATTCTCAAACAACAGACAAATCCAGATAACTGGACTGTAGTCAGTTCCATCTCTAATCCAGCTCCTCTGTTGCCTGTTCTCTAATATGTGCTTCTCCTGATGTAGAATCATATTAACTCTTCACAAAGGATTAATGGACATGGTAACTGTGTTCTGAGCACCCTAAGTATAGAACTGCTATATTAACTGCTACTAGTATCTAAACTGACACCATTGTTGTAACTATGTAAATTATAACAATGTTGCAAATGCTATAAAATGTGGGTAGGAAATATTAATAGAAAACTTGTCACATATTAATAAGTTAGGGTATGGTATTTCAAAGGCAAAAGATAGAGTCTTACTTTGACACAATTTTCAGAAGAATATTCAAAATGAGTTAGCTGTACCAATGTTTATGATTCCTGATCCATTGACCAAAAGCAACTGTGAAAGCTTTCAAGAAGAATTTTACTCATTAGCCCATCATTTACTCACCAAACCAACTGCAGCTCTGTGGACAGGAGAAATAGATAAATCAGCACATTTCACTTCCCAGACATGTTGGGCCTCCAGCCAATGGTCAGGTTCAGCTGGCCCACCCCAGCGGTAGTATGGCCGTGGTTGTGGAATCACATATTCCTGCAATGGAGACTAGGATAAGCAGCAGTATTTGCACACAAGGGACTAGTCCAGTGGGGTCAACCACTAAATGCTCCCCCAACATGATACAATTCTCCTCTGTGCTCCACTGAGGGTTGACCAGGATCGGGAAATAACATCTTCTGGGCATAAAAGCCAGAATTTATTCTCTTGTGAAATCATGAATAAGGGATGAAGACAAATGGCCAGATCTAAAAAAGGTGGCAGTCCCTCCTTGCTACTGCTTAACTCTCTGGACATAGAAATTATCTGTGAAGGGATATTGTGGGATGGAGAGCGTGCATCTCTTCAGGTTCTGGACTCAGGCACAGAGGCATCAAGGGGGATGGCTTTGCAAAAGCTGAGAGGAGTTTCTACCTTGAGAGAATTATGGAGTTTCTCCAGGACCTCATCTGTGAATCCAGTGCCAATCTGAAAGCAGAGGTGGGGGAGGATGAGTGTTAGAAATGAAATCGCTCTTTGCTGTGGGAAGGGATGCTTTGTCGGGTTAGATAACACTTAGACCTGGTTTGCACACAACAAGAAGCTGGTATGGTTGAGTTTCCCACAGGGTTTCTCATTGTGTCAATTTTGAGGGCAAAGGACCTGCAGGGGAATTCACCCTCAGAGGCTTGTCACTACATGTGAACAACCTTAGGCTGGACAAGGCACAGGAAATACAAGAGTCACCCTTTTTATTCTTCAGACCCTACCCCATGCGTATTTCCCTGTCAGAACAGTCCACTTACCCTGTTCTCCTTTTTCCCATCTAAATGATGAAATGACAGCATCTATAGCAGGCCTTACTTTTATAGGCTGGGAATACTTGATACTGTATAGACATTGAAGCTTCTTAAGTACTAAGACAAGGGCCAAGTGTCCAAAAGTCCTAATGAGGAGGGATGCCAGCTTGGAGATAACTTACCTTGCAGATACTCTGGAACTCCTCACTTTCTTCATCATAGCAGGCCAGGAGAAAGCCACCATATGTGCCTGCACGTTTGCCTTTGCCCAGGTAGGCACCAATCACCACCAGGTCCAAGGTGTCTCCAACACCCTCCAAGTAATCTTTTTTAAGCTGGTGTGAGAAACACAGTTACTACAAGGAGTCATTCAACTCCAGGCATGTGGGACTGATTGTTTGGGACTTTCCAGTAATGCAAAACTTTGATCCTGGATATGAAGCACCAAATACATGATGATGCTTTTTAGTATGTTATTGTTAATTTGGTATCTTTGTTATGTGCTATGGGCTTTCTCTTCAAACTGATAAATAAGAAAGAGAATTAATAAAATAAATGCCCTTCCTCCCTTCAACAAAAGCCTGTCCCAGGTCAGTTAAGTTCAAGCAACATTTTCTTCCATTAAATGGCTTAGCAAGCTGAACAGGAATTCTGTTCTCACCTTCAGCCAGTTGTGGGATCTCTTTGCAATTTCATATGTGGCATCCACTTCCAGTGTTTTCACCATTAGACCTTCACATGAGTCTAAAAGAGACAAACCACATTATTAGTCCATCCCTCATAGCACATTATTAATCCTGTTCTTTTCTCCAAAGCGCCTAGGATGACAGACATGGCTTCCCTGCGTTTATTCCAATAACCCTTCTGTGAGATTGAAAAAAATGATTGGCCTGGGGCCTAAGGAGCTTCATGGCTGAGCGAGGATTCAAACCTGGGTCTCTCAAATCCTAATACATCATACCATCCTTGTCTATCCACCCTGGTTTTCATTTTGTAGCTCAGTAGAAGGGGAGCAACCAGACTACTGAATAGCAATTATCTTCACAATACCTTTGATGGAGCGTTCCAGGAATTCTGCTATCTCATCAGTGTTAGTAGTATCCACAGAGGTGGCAAAGAGGAACTGTCCTTCAACCTCAGTGAAGGAATCATGCAGCAAGGCCCGGCGCTGAGACAGGGGTTTCTGGACCAGAGACTGGAAGGACACATGATAACATGTTTGAAAGGCAAGCACAAAATGAACAGCCACTGACAATGCAGTGCTGATGGGATATTATCTGACTGCTAATTAAAGCTGCCAAAGAATCAACAGCATGGAAGAACTGGTACACTTACTTGCCCATTGAGGTAGAGCATGTCAAATGCATACACACACACCTGCACTCTGATCTCTGCAGCATCAACATCCTGAAGAAGAATAGTGGAATCAGGTGAAAGTGATAGTAGCTATTTTCAGAGTGGAGTACAAAATTTCTTTGTTTCTTTGAAATATTTCTGTTTTGCTCTTCCAAACATACCAATAGTTGCCAGAAAGGTAGTATTTCTTCCACATGTCCCACAGCTTATTAATTATAGATTTGTTATTTTCAAAGCCACAACTACCACATAATATCATCCTCCTACCCTTTCAACTCATTCCTGATTGTGATGAGCCCAAAGCAAAAGACAGAAGTAATTAAAGGTGATCTTGATCAACATTTCCGTAAAATAACAACTTACCTTGCGCTTGCGGGTGGTCAGTACCTGGAATGGCTGGATCTGCTTGGAGTCTGGGTCCCAGGCCACAGCCTCTGCATCCAAGATGCATGACTGCACAGAACTCTTCTTCACCTGCATGAAGGTGGGATTCAGCTTGAGTTTTTCTTTGCATCCAGCTCCCAACTTTCTGCCACAGACTGATCCTCAGGAACCTCATTAACTATGGAGATGCCCCCATGCCAGCAAATCACACCTTTCCCTTCTGTGCCCTGCTTACTTTGCACATTCACCTCATACTTCCAGAAGTTACTGTACCTTAGGGATACGGCTGATGATGTCTGGGTACTTGGTCGTGTTGTTTTCTTGATTCCGGCTGTATATATACACATCCCCATTCTCCAGGATGTGAATCTGTGAAGAGGGAAAAAGTTGAGCTCGAGTTATAACTGTAAAGGAGAATGAGAGCTCTCCATTTTGGTTGCACACTACAAATCCTTACCTGTGCTCGCTCTCCATCATATTTGTATTCACAAGTAAAAGCAGCCTCTTCAAAGCGCTTTAATACCTCCCCAATTCCCTTGGTTGGGTGAGCCAGCATAGGCTTCAGGGGAATTCCTGTGGGGCAAAGTACACAAGGTTGGAACTTGCAGCAACAACCATTCCCTGGGTCACTGAAGGGTGAAGCAACAAAGTTCCCAGTAAGGCAAGTTCTTACATTTCATTCCACATATGATGGTGACATGAAAGAAATGGGCAAGGGAAACTCAGTGTTTCCTTGCCAAACATTTACTTTCCAATTTGAGCTTTCTTGGTGTGAGAGCTCTAGCTAATCTATAAGTATATGCAGGACTGCTGATTATAAAACAAACATATATTCATGTTTTATCATAAAGCATACATTTGCCATGTTTGCACAATTTTGAGTTCTTTGGTAAGAAACAAAGTAATAAAGGGAGAACTGATCAGATAAGGGAAGTTAATAAGTACACTTAGAAGAAAGCAATTACAAGGCTCATGGTAATACAAAGTATTAAAGATCTAACCCTTACTGAGGCCTTATCTCTGGGGCAGTGTCTGTGTTTTAAAATATACAACCAAGATGGCTAGAAACTGGTTGGTTTGTTCTTGAAATAGAAGCTCAAACTTTTCAGAAATCTGCATTTTGCACTGGATTATGTACAGTATTGCATTTATAGAATTGCACAGGATAAATGATTCTGAAGAGAAGAAAACAGCTATGTCAATGTCCTGCACACTGGGGAATTCTACAGATACCTGGTGTGATCTTGCAGTGTTGAGGAAGACTCTCCACACCATGCTTCAGAAGGACAGGGACAATTGTGCCATAATTTGGCAGCTCACTGAAAACAGAACAAACCAGAATGACCAAGAGGCATTCCTCCTAGGGCTAAAGGCCTTGAATTATGGGGGACTAGAAGGAACCAGGTTACATCTATGAAGAAAGCTGCTGCTGCTATTTATAACCCTAGACTGTTGAAACAGAGGAGCTTCCAGCCAGCAGTACACTTGCAGTATTCTCTAAGGCTCCATCTGGCTTCTCTAGCATGCCTCTGTCTTGCAGGAAATTAAACCAGATTCCAGGCTGTAGAAAGACAAGACCAAAGTGAGAAGGAATCCTAAAAATCCAGCTTGCTTACCACTCAAGAAAAACACTAGGACACAAATGGGAAGGTATGTAGATATTAGATGGCATGAACTGGGTTAGACAAAGAACAGCTTTTGGGTGATGTGTGGGAGAGAATGAAAGCATATCCAGACTTCCCCTTTCACCACCTATGAAAGGCTTGATTTGTTCAGGAAGGCCCACCTTGGCATGGTTGAAGACAAAAAGGTCAGACACCCAATGATTTCTAGGCTTCAGGCTATTGCAGCCTCTGAATACAGGGAGCTGGGGACAGATGAATGCACATCTTGGTCAGTCTTTAAGTAGAAAATTACTCACCAGAAGGCCTGCTTAACAATCAAGACTCTTTCGTCCAGCCAGGCTTTGCGTGCCTCTGCAGACTTGCCCTTTGCAGCATCCAAAATGTCTGGGGGGAATTCTGCATGGGGGGAAAACGCATGCATACTGGATAGATAACATATAAAGCATTAAGGTCCCTGTGGCTGGAATGTGCATGTTTTATATGTTAATGATTTCAATGAAAATGTACAGAAACTATTTTGGGCTCAGACCTCAGTAAATTCGTTTTCTAAATACCAAGGAAATGTAGATAATAATTGGAACTATGTGGAACTACCTTTGAAGACAGTCCAGCCACTGCAACTTGTTCAAAACCGGGCAGCTGCTGAGGAGAACCAGCATTTGTGAACACATTATGCCAGTTGCATGTAGGCTACATTGGCTGCCAGTTGCCAACCAGGCCCAATTCTAAGGAACATACAAGGCCCTAAACCTGGGGTCTCAAACTAGTGGCCCGCGGGCCAATTGCCGGGACGGGCGGGGCACGGGGGGGGGGGGCCCTGTGGCCTTCAAAGCGCCGTTGGCGCCCGGGCCGGCCTCCGGATGAGTGGCCCACCACCACCACGGTGGTGGAATAGTTGATGCGGCCCAGCCTCACCCAGACTCTACTTCCAGAGGCCCCCAGGTAAGTTGAGTTTGAGACCCCTGCCCTAAACAGCTTGGGGCCAGGCTATCTGAGGGAGCACCTTTCTCCATACATACCCTCCTAGTCACTGCAGTCAACATCTGAGGCTCTCCTTTGCATTTCTCCCAGGTGTAAAGGTGGCAGGGGAGATGACAAGGAGGGCCTTTTCTGTTATTGTACCCCAATTATGCATGAGAAGCAGCTGGCACCAACACTATATTCCTTTAGATGCCAGCCAAAGATATTTTTCTTTTGCAGGCCTTTTGGAGGGTGAATCTGTTGGGCTTTGTTTTTAATGGATTGCTTTGAGGTTAATTGCTGCTACCATTTTACAATTGTTAATTTTACATTTTCACAATTTTATAATGTATGGATATTTGCCCTTCTCAACTTGTTTATCATTTAATTCTTTTTAATTTTTATTATTAATTGTTTATTCTCTTGGTTGGTTATCATTGATTTTATTGTTCTTATTGGTTTTATTGTATTTTTATTTTATTGTATTGCATTGTGCTACTGCTTATATGTAAGTCACCCAGAGTGCCAATGGTGGCATATAAATCAAATTAATAAATATTTGGAAAAAAATCAGGCACCAAAAAGAAACTGAGTTGGACTTATATGCTCTAACTCTATCTCTTTCATGGTTAGCAAAGTTTCATTTCCTTGACTTCCTCCTATACCTCTATGCCTCTCAAGTCTGCAAATGCCACATTCTTTAGAAATCTGAACTTAAGAAATAAGATTATGCAGATTTAATTCTGACTGGTTACAAAACACACAATGTCCTGTCATGTACCTGGCATCAAAGTCCTCACACGCCTCTAACTGAAACACTAAAACTCTTTGCATTAGCACACAGACACAGTCATCCCAAACTGTATTGTACTGAAGCATAGTTAACCCTCTAAACTTTCCTTAAACAAGCACCAGTGCATTCCCCAACTGCATCATGAACTCACTTTGTCTGGGAGGAGTGAGTGATGCTGCCTGGGCTAAAGCTGACAAGACAGACTGCTCTGCTAATCCAATCCGCAGCTTTCCTTCCAGTGACCTGCAATACACAAAACACCTCATTGTAATATTATAAGGCTGAAGTGGAAGGCTCCAAGAGAACACTGTATAAATATAGCACTCTGATTGTTGGAAGTGGGGGTAGTAGGAGTGGGAACTGAAAGACAAAAAGCCATATGCCAATGGGTAAGGTAGGAATGCAAGAAATAACTGTTGCAGTATAGTTTTAGGAACCCTTTAGAGATAAGCAGGTTAAAAAAAATCTAAACAGATTGATAAAAGGGATATGCTGTGGAGATGCTAAGGTATGGGAATGGATAACAGTTATATCACACTCACCGAGCAATGTAGCGGGCCTCTGAATGGCGGCAAGCAACAAACAAGGACTTGATAATGTCAATCTTCTTGTTCATGGACTGAAGGGGACAGAAATGGGAGTGAGTGCTGACACACATCCTGAGGGATTGGAGAGGGAATGAGAGCCTAGCACATGCATCAGAAGTTCTTTCTAGTGCTATGTAATAGCAGCAAGCTCACAAAAAGACTATTCTGTGTATACGTAGCATCACAGAGGTCTTCAAGCAAATAAATGTGTAACTCTGCCTTAGATGTTACCATAGTCATACTCTCTTTGAAGACATCACAAGATTCTGCAGACTCTCCTTCACAAGGGTAGCCCAAACTAAGAACTCAGAAAAAGGTATCTCTGCTTAATTTGGGAATCCTTGAAGAACCATTCCACTCCTAAACCCAATGTCGTATATTAGAGTCAGGCCATACCATCTTGGAAAGAATCACAGCAGACATATTGTGCCAAGTGCAGGGTAAGATTAACATTACCACAATCAGAGGAGAAACCCCCTAGACTTACTGGACCTCAGCCTTGGCCTTTCCTTGACAGCCCAATGCCAATACCTTGTCTTTATTCCCTGATCATTCACGCCCACTCACCCATTACTTACAGCGCTTCCTGCCATGCGCCCAATTGCCTGCAGTTTGCCAAAGACTGCGGCTACACCAAGCTTGGGTGGGGCAAACACAGTGCCTTGTGTGGTGCGGCTACTCTCAGCAACTAAACCCAGGTCTCCCTTCTCAGCTGCCTCTGCCTTGATCTGATCCAGTTGTCGACCTACGGGAGAAGGAAGGACCAAACACTCATGAATCATAAACTGAATGAATTCTTCATTCTCGTCTTTCAATAAGGACCAAGGCACATTATTATATTATTGTTATCTGTATGTGGAACTGGATTGTCCTATTTGGGCTAATCAAACAATTGACACTTTAGCATCTGTATCTTAAGCAACTATGGATCTCAGGTTATGCCTTGTTCAATAAAAATTCTGTTCCAGGACTGTTGGTTGCTACAATGTCTCTTTATTAAGGGTTTGTCCAACTTGGCTAATTTCTAGAGATAGAACACAACCAATGCTTCTTTTAGCCATGTTTTCCAGTAATGCCATATGATTAACTCTTTTTGAACAGAGAGCATTATATAGATAAATATATAAAGAGTGTGTATTGGAAAACTCTTTACTGTATCATCATTTATTTATTTATTTATTTATTTATTTATTTGGAATTTTTGTATGCCGGCCCATTCGCATAAGCCTTGGGACGGCTTCCAACATCATAAATAAATACATATACAAATACATATATATAAAATCTGGAAACATCCTGGCTCATTATTTTAAAACCAATAAATAAAATCAACAATTATTAAAATATCGTTTAAATAAAAAGGTCTTGGCCTAGCACCAAAAAACAAATAACGACGGCGCCAGGCCGTCTACTTGCTCTCTAGAAGTTAGTGCATAGTCAGCACAAATGGGTTCTCCACTGCCTTTTGACAGCTAAAAAACTGATAATAGAAACATTAGACGGATAAATACCACCTACAATGCAAAGAACTGAAGACCTAACACCACCATCAACATTTGAATGGGAGCTATAGAGATGCCACTTGAGAAGGGTTATTTGGTCTGCTCTGGTAAATGTTTATGTATAATTTGCAGCAAACCCTGTCTGCATATGTGCACTTCATATCCATATACTGAAATTGGTCTATTCCAATTTATATAGGTATGAGTTTTCCTTTTTCGTTTTGTTGAAATTTTACAGTAAAAAAAGGTATAAAAATGTGTGCATTGGCTGACTATCGTATTGGTAACAACTGTCCAGCAACATCTTAATACTAACTAGAATTGAGTAAGCTTACCTGTGGCCTGAGCCAAAGCTTTCATGAGAATGGTTTTGCCAATGCCCAGCTCTAGGCCCTCGTATGCTGGACCTAACTGATTGAGACACAGATAGATGCAGGGCAGTAGGTCTTCAGGAGACAGGGCTATCACAGACCGGAACAGGTTGCTCAGTGTCTCTATAATTTTCAGCCTGGAAACGAAGAGCAGAAGGATGTTGAATGGTTTTAGGGTCAATATAAAGTGCCAGCACTATCTATCCCTTCCATCTTTTGGGACACCTTACCGTGCAGACTCCTCCTCAATCAATTCAAAAGTGCGTGCCACAGCTAAGTATGGTACCCTGTAAGAGGAATGAAATGAAATCATACAGATCAGCAGAAGTTAAACAGAGGCCTCCACCATCTCGTTGCAACTCTTATACCACCCAGTTCTGGGAAAGGATTACAATCACACAACTAAAGTGTTGGGAAGTTTCCAAAAGGCCAACCCCACACTCAGAAGTCAAGAAGGGGAAAGTCCACTCACCCTCGCCAAAGTCAATTCATGCTACCCAGACCATTAGAGTGCCACAGAGATCAGGCAGTGAATTAAACAAGTGAGCCAAATCACTGTAGGAAAAAGCTTCTGCTCTTCATAAAAAGCCAGCCCCTCTCCACAAACACAGAATCACTAACTAAAGACAGAGCAAGACAACAAGTGCAAGGAGAGTAAAGCAATTTAGGATGGTGGTTGATAGTAGAGCGGGGGAAGAGACATGTTGTTCACAGAAGTTACACTATCTTGAAATGCAGTATCTTGGCATAGAGGAGCATTTGGTCTAGATCTGTCTTGCCCAACCTGGTGTCCTCCAGATGTTCTGCACTGCAACTCCTGGAATTCTCCAACATAGGTAAGGGATGTGAGGAGTGGTAGTCTAAAGCATCTGAAATGCACTGGGCTGTTGAAGGTTGTTCTAGAACATCAGTACAGTCATTTTCAACACAGTGATTAAGCCTGGAATAAGGTTGATGTGAAAGCAGGTGGCCAGTATCTCTATGCTGTCTGGCCCTTGGAAGGTAAGGGGTTCTGATAAGGTGAAGTATTGAAGCAAGGAGTGTGACAACCTTCTGCAGCAGAAAAGCTCACTTCAGTAGTACTTGCCTCTGGCCAGGCCCCCAGCAAGCATCATGGACAGGATGATAGTTGCTTTTTGTAGGGTTGTAATCAGCAGGTTCAAGTGTAAGAGATGGCTTGAGAGAACTATAAAAATGGGACGTATGTAGTTAGTTTAAAAGTAGCTATTAAGTATATGCCTTCAGGCAACCTGTCACACATGCCTACAAAAGTGCCCACAAACTCTTTTAATACTACCACCTCGCCATGAATATCAACCTGTCATCAATCACAACTGAGGGGTGGTGATGGAAAGAACCTACTTTTACCTAGTTTACAATGACTTTCCTACTTTCTCATCTCATTGTATTTTTTCTACTACAAGCCTGTCTTAAGTACAGAACAATGCATGATGGTTAAGAGATAACCCTTGTTTGCTTGCTTATATTTACTTTTTTTTCCTGCAAGGAACTCAAGGAATCTTATATAAGCTTCCTTCTTCCCATTTTATCCTCGCAACAACCCTATAAGGTAGGTTAGGTAGAGAGTACTGACTGCAGTGGGGACTACAGCCCTGATCTCCTGAATCCCAGTTCAGCACTCTGATCATTTGCACCACACTGGCTCTTGTTTACCTAAACTAACATTGGCAAAAATAGTAAGGCTGCACATCCTATTATATGGAAATTGGTGAAGATTATTAATATAAGCAATACCATTCTGTGACTAAGGAGGGAAGGTACAGAATCCAAAGGCTGGCTGGGGCTTGTTGGGAGATGTTAGACTTTCTTCTGGCTAAACATGCATAGAACTGCACTGTAAGTTGTTTTCTGGGCAGAGTGACTACCACATGCATGCTCCTCTGCACAGTATTTTCACGCAGACCCTGGTGATAACACAAGATGATATGGAACAGACCTCTTCCTCTGAATAGGAGCGCTTACGTCCATATTTGCCCAGTCGCCCCCTGAGATCGGCAGGAGAGGCCCTTCTCCAGGAGCCCTCCGTGAGAGAAATTAGGAGGGTGGCTACTCGGAGAAGGGCTTTCTCAGCGGTGGCGCCTAAGTTATGGAATGCGCTCCCCAGAGAGGTCCGCCTGGCGCCGTTGTTATTTGTTTTTCGGCGCCAGGCTAAGACCTTTTTATTTAAGCAACATTTTAAATGCTAAATACAATTGAATTTTATCTGGCCAGGGCGGCTTATTTTATAATGTGTGTTTTAATTTAGATTATTTTATATGGATATTTTAACTTATTGTTTTATCTATGTTGTAAGCCGCCCCGAGGCTTCGGCGAATGGGGCGGCATAAAAATGTTTTAATAAATAAAATAAATAAATAAATAAATAAATAAATAAATAAAATAAATAGCTTCAGTCACTTACTTCCCAGTCATATTGCTCAGTGTATGAGAACTGCCTTCATTATGGCTCTTTGGTGCAGGTGTGTTTTCTCCTATTGCAGGCATCTGTTTTTTCTCTGCCTTCACAGAGGCTTTCCTGGGGGCTTTAAGATAGAAAAGACAAGATTTGCTCATATGGACAGATTTACATTTATTTTGGAGAGCTACTTAACTTAAGGTAAGTATCAGATTAAGGGGTACTGAAATAAAGTATAAGACTCTGAAACAGTTCTATTGTGAGGCAAATTCTTAAACATCACACAAGAGATCAGAGAGGGCAATCATTCCCTGAACCTACCAAACTCACCCACAGTATATTGTCCTGCCAGCATCAGCTTACTTTATTTTGTGAGATATTGGCAGAGAATGTATCTTCTCCACACAGCAAAACTTTTCTCCAATCCAAGATTCACCCTTTTAGATCTCCTTTCATAAGCATTTAGGCTGACAGTGTTATTAAATAAATACTTAAATAGATAATTGAGGAATCCAAACCTACATCACACAGCAGATTCCAGGTGGCATTGAAAAATGTGCAGCTGTGGATATGTTCCTGTTCTATACTCTTAGTGGATACAAATGGTGGTACATCTCTCACATGCTTACCAAAAAAACTAGAGATGGGTTTGCTAGATGATTTAGGGGATTCTGACATCTTCTCTTCCTTGGTATCTTTTTCTGCTTCATGCTCTTCCAATTCTGAATCCTCATCTTTCTCTTTTTCCATCTCCATGGGACTCTCACCTGGTTCCCCCTTGGAGCCTACACAACAAACAAAAGTCAAGTGACCAACTGAATTTGAAAAAAGATTCAGCCTAGATCTCTTTTATATAAAACCACTGTAACTCAAGCTTGCAGTTATAGCAAGCTTGTTTTTGATAAACGCAGAACCTAAGGTGGCTATGGATTCTTTTAATTAAGCAATGATTTAGGGAACACTGTTTGACCCAAATGATCCAAAGTGAAGTCAATTCTGAATTTATAAAGCTTTGGGAAAAAATGGCCTTTATATCTCTTGTAAATACTGTTTCATATATTTTATTTTCAGGAGAAATACATTACAAGTCAAATCTATGTATCTATGAGGAGTCTTCAAAAAGTTTCTGCACTTTTATATTTTATAAATATATTTTATATATTTTTTGCTGATGGCATTAAAAAGTTGGTATGATGTTGGGAAAAATGCATCACAACGGAAGGTGACTATGTAGAAAAATGTTGCAATTGGATTTTGAAACTCTTAATAAATAGAGTTTTTAAAAGTGAGGAAACTTTTTGAAGAACCCTTATATACTGGGAAATAAAAAGTAGTGTAAAGACTATAACCTATGAGACAAATGTAAGCCTGAAGCTCTAACTGTGCAATCCTACACAGATTTGCCTATAAATAAGTCCCTATTAATTCAACAGAGCTTACTCCCAAGTCACTACACACAGGATTGCAGCTGAAATACAACATCCCAAAGGCAGAAAACAGGTACTATACTTTCACTAACTCCAGAAAGAACACATTCCTCCATCATTTACCTAGTTCATAATGTACAAACAGTGGGTTAATTAAGCTAGGATTTGCCAGAATGCATCTACATGTGAGAAAATATTTTGCACATGGAACCTCCTGCTGTCCCAACTGTAGGTTGGTGCCTGATATGTGAAATCAGACACTTTTGAGTTGTTTTTGTGAATAAAACAACCCAGTTAACCTTCTTTAATCAAAAATGTGCTGCTGTTATATATGAACCAGGGTACCACTTTATGCCATCTCCAGTTCCATAACCAAGCACCAGAAAGCACTTACCATTTCCATCATCTACCTTCTGCCTTTTGGCACTAATGTCCTCCAGGGAGCTATCATGGCCATTGATTTCTTCCTCTGCTTTACGTTTAGGGAGCTGTTTACGGGCTGAAGATGAGAGGTAAGACTGGTAGTAGGGCTGGCAGTACACTTTTCTTAACAATTAGAATACTTTTGTTTGCATCTACACAGAATAAGAGTTAAAAGATATATTACTACTTCAGAACCTATATAGTAAGTTAAGGCCACATAGTGTGGTGTTAGGCCAAGGTGGAATGGTTTCCAAAAGGGTTAAGATGGAAGACTGCAGAACAGGACCAAAGGAAGAGCAGGTGCAACTTCATTAAAGGATAATATCGTACATAAAGCCATGGTTCCAACTTCTTTTGTCCTGGATTTAGAGTCTGAAAATTCCTCACTTTTCTCCATAGACCAAGAGTACAAATTACTTTGTCAAATTCTGGAACCCCAGACATATAATATGTCCCTCCATTCACAGCCAAATCATTCCTATAAAACACTATCAGTATTAGTGACAAACAATTATGCTCATTTAAACTGTATGCATATAAATATTTTCAACACACTGTGATTCTAAAATGCTCCATGTATCAGAAGAAAGTTTCCTAATGCAGACTGTGAGCCCAGCCATAATCGCTGTCCCAACTTTTCAAATCTGCCTCACATGAAAGAAAGATAGAATTTCAATGCATGATGGACATCAAAGCAAAACAAGCTAGACTGAGTAATGGTGTCCGTCTCTAAGGCTATTCCCTAAACCAGGCGTATTCTCTAAGTTCAAAATGACTTACCCTCTAGTATGTAAATCAATTAAAACTAAATCATGTAAAAAAGCCATGGAACAAAGAGATTAAAGTTCTATTGTAGCAGTAATCCCAATATCCAATTTAATCCCTCATTCTGAGGAAAAAGTCCTCCTAGGATTAACACTTCCTGGTTGCCTTCAATGACCAAAAACATAGGGACTTACCAGTTTTACGCCTTGGGATACTGGAGGTTGAGAGCGAATTAGAAGTAGATGGGCTGGTACTTGGCGAGATGCTCTTCGCAGGGATCTTTTTCTCAGGAGAACAGTCAGGTGTCTAAAAATGCAGGGACACAAACTAAATGTTAGACAGAAAAAACAACCCCAAATCAAGGTGTGTTTAGGGCTGAACAGAGCAAGATTGCATAGACATCAATTTATTATGGAACAGACAAAAGCACCACAAGAATGTCCCTTGTAGCTTCTAGAGCAAAAAGACATAGTGATGCTTGTATTTTTTATGCATGGTCCTGAACCAGGGCACCCTAACTAGAATAAGCAGCTGGAACAGAAATTATATCCAAAGGACTAAACGTGCAAAGAGAACACTTGTATTTACAGAGCTGGAAGAGAGAATGGATGCCTGTATATAGAGTAAAAAAAATCAGACATGATAGGAAGGGGCTTACCTGATTACTACCACCTTCCTGTGTATCCTTTTGCCTTGGTTTTTCAGGATCCTCTTCATCTTCACTGTTAAGTGTCTGGGTGGCATTTTTGGCTGCAGGATTCACTGAGGAATTCGTATGGAGTGCAGTACCATTTACCAGCTGTTCAGAATGTTTCAGAACATTTTTTCTGAAAAGAGATGCAGCACTTAGTATCACAGCCACTGGACCTTTCCAGTGTTATCATTTCTTACATTTATCTCTCACCTTTCTTCCAAAGAAATCAAGGAAGCCAGCATAGCTCTAATTCAACCATTCTATCCTCATAAAGTTGGTTAGACTGAGAGATGCATCTGGCCCAAGGTTATCCAGGTAATAAGTAACTGAGACTTGCTTATTTAAATTATTTATATATCAGCTTCCATTGGGAGCTGTGATGCTCCTTTCTTTGCAGGCATTCAGGAAAGTTTGACACCCACCTGCTTTCATTTAATTTTTTGGACAATGCATAAGTTACTGATTCCCAGCAACATTGGTTTTATTAATTTTTAAATCAATATCCTTGTTTTAATGAACTTTTAATGAACATTGAGTTATTGAATGAGATTTGGATGGTTTTTGTCTTGCATGCTGTCTTGAGAGGGTTTTACCCTCAAAAGCAGCTTAAAAATAATTTAAGTTAAAAACAGTATGTATTCTTATACACCAACATCTTTTAATCCTCTAACATGCACACACAATCTAAATAAAACCCTAATGCCAGTAAAAGCACATTTTCTTATTTAAATAGACCATGGTGTTGTTAGACTGCTGAACAGTATTCTTCTTCAGTTCCATTAAATTACATTTTTAGCTTTGAAAGGAATTTTGCCTGTTTCCCTCAACTCTGCTTGATAGTTTGGAAAAGTCTTTTCTACGTTTCAGTTTGATCTAGAATGTCTTTTTAACACTGGAAAGATTTCTCTAGCTGTTCTGATGCTATCCATTGACTGGGGAAAAGGGATTCTATGCTAGCATGGACACACACAACCTGCCCCGAGAATCTTTTTTTTTACAGAGAAAGCTTGTTAGCACAGGAACACTTCAATTAATATTGTGACTCTAACTGTAGTTCCCTGACACTTTTACTCCTAGATCTTCAAGGGGAATAGGGAGCAATGGTGACTACAATAGTCAGGGCTGTGTGTATTCCACAGATCATGTGAGCATATGAAATTTGAGGATTCAATAAAGATCAGGAAATAAAGATCTGGAAACCCAAAAGTCTCAGGACTACTTTAGGAAAAAAGTGAGGTAGAATTAACAGTTTTGTCTATATTCCAGTAACTCACTTTTTGGGGGTGAGTGCTTCTTCCAGGTGATTATTCTCTGTTGTCTCATTGCCAAGATGTGTTCGTGCCAGGGGCTGGAAGAATGATCTATCCAGATACAAACAAACACAGTTACATACTTTGGAAGTTTGTCAGTTCTTTGCACACTACCAGTCCAGATATCTGGCAAGAGTGACCCATCCCTTCTCAAGCAGCCTGGTGGGCAGGGAACAACACAAGGCACAAAATCTGTGTATTTATTTATTTAAAACATTTGTATGCCACCCACTTGTGCCACAACACCACTGGGCAGTGTATATAAAAGAAGGGCTTGCTTTGCCCAATTTTGGCTTTGGTTCGACCCAACACCAGCTTCAGTCCCACCCATGTGTGTACCCCTTTGACAGGATACTGTTTCCCATCCCTGCCTTAAGAAGAAAATGGCAGTGCGGTGACACTAGCACATTCAATCTGCTCCTGAGATAAGAATATGCTGTTGGAAAGTCTAAAATAGTTTTCTTTTATTTCCTCATGTTTTCTGTTTCTCATAGTTTCTTAATCTAACATTTAAAAAAACCCTAAATAAGGAACTTTCTTTTAAATACTTTGTGAAAATACTGTAAAAGAGACCATAAAAGTCCTCATTTAAAATATTTGTTCTTAAGAACTGTGACATTGTTCAGCCCAGGAAAAAGATATTTCATAAGCAAACACATTTCCGCAAAGCTCTCAATTTGTTTTCTGAGCACCAGAAAAAAATGTCCTTGCAAGATTGCAGTTTTATAGAGACACAGTTAAAGACCTTCCCAAACTTACCTTATGGTGCTCTGCATTGCTGACGTTTAGATAAGGGTGGTACTGAACCTGCTGTCAGAGAAACCACTCAGCTGGCCAGTTCCAAAGGGCAGAGACAGCACAGATGGAGCTCATGGAATAGGGCACGTATTAGATCCTATTTTCTCAAAGGCCACTGTTGGAGAGAAAAAGCAGATGAGCAACTTGGATTTGAGTCACACAACACTAAGATTGAGCCACTTCCAGTATACCCATAATTATAAAATCTTCCTGGACAACAGTATCAGTTCAGTGGTGCTTACAATACAGTAGTTCCTAAACCAGACAGAGGCCTTACTTTTTGTGTTGACATTAAAGTTGACATTGATTAACTGCAATTTTGACTGATAGACTTCACTGAGTTATTACAATGATAGTCCAACAGGAACATATGTGATTGATTAAAAATAGGCAGGGAACTGATAACCTTAGATCGGTTGTGTGTCTGATTGCATTATAGAACAGATATAGCTGAGAATACCTCTTTGGATGTGAAGAAGGCCTTCAATAAAATTCATTGGAACTTTATATTTGCCTCACTGAGAAATTTAAGTTTTCTTCCAGAATTTCTGAAATGGGTTAAAAAAAATTATGAGCTCCAGAGCCAGATTTAGGACCAATGGTGCTTTGTCTGAATGTTTTCTACTTGAAAGAGGTACATACTAGTGTTTCATCTTTCTTGGACTATTAAGGACAGAGTTAAACCATAGCACAATAATATTCTTTACTCTCCTTTACTCTTTTGCATATAATCAAATGTTTCTACTCATTCCCACAGTGGTGAGAAGAATAAAGCACTACTACCTGAGAGAGAACAAAACCTGCACTACACATTCTAACAGGAATCCAGCAAGAGCACAAAGATGCTTTAAATCCAAATATGAGCTTGCAATGTGTATGTCTTCCCACAACACTCTATGTACTAATTATAACACGTGTTTTCATAGTTTGATTATCAAGTAGTTTTCTCTTGGCTTTTATTTCCCATTAGATTATATGTAACATAGCAAACATACACGAGAGATTCAAATAGTGCTCTTTTGCATGACAAATGAAAACACTTAAAAATAAATACACATTCATGCCACTTATTTTTTTCCTCCCGTTATTTATTGTTGTTATGCATTAATAATTTCTCAAAAATTGGAAGCAGCATTCCAGACAATGCAGATCTGAATAACAAATATTTGTGAACTGGGGCTACCATGCATTTTGGCTTACTTCATAGGTGATGGGAAATACAAAATAAACAATCCCCCACAAACAAAGCACAGTAAACAATGAACTCAATGGTCAGATAAACCTGGAAATGGCTACTTGAACACCTTTGCACTGCTTTCACTCTTCTTTTAAATTTCTTCTTGAAATCTCCAAAATGGTGGGAACAATTGTATTGGTCAATTTGCAACCCACCTTCCAAATAAAAATTTATTAGGGCAGCTTACACAACACTCTGTGAAAACTAATATTGTGAAATACACACCAGAGTAAAGTCATTGCTTAGACTTCACCTTGTTCTTTTTTAGCGAACTCAAAAAAGAGTTTCATGGCAACTTAAACATTTATTCTGACAGATGCTTTTGTGGGCTCTAGTCCACTTCTTTCAGATTGCAATGCTTGCTTTTGATTTGTTACAACATTGTAACAACATTGTTTTCACATTTCTACCCTCTGGAAACTATTGATGACTTGAATGTAGAACGTTCCCTAGTTTGGTCTCCCTTCCACCTTCCTCCCTTCTTCCTTCCTTCCTTCATCTTCAGTCAAATATTGCAATGTAAGCTCCTTGGCTCCTTCCTTCTGGTTGCAACCCTTTGAGGTACAGACTGGGTGCCCATGTCACGCTCAGTCTCGATGGATTGTCGTGGAGTGCTACACACACTGGCAACGGTGAACAAATAAACCCCACACGAATAAACCATATGCCATTCAAAGGCACGCACAAGTCGTCAAAAAGCATCCATCAATGGAGCGGAGCGGAGCGGAGCAAAAGCAAAGGCCTGCCTCCCCTCGCCGTCGCTCACGTCCGCCTTTGACGACAGAAGAAGCGCCAGGACAACCACATCCGAGGGGCTTCTTGCTTGGGTGGGAAGAAGAAGGGGGCTGGGGGCACCACCGGGAACAGGTGAGTATAACGAGGGAGGGTGGCTCCGTTCCCGCCATCGCCCCTCCCCCCTCCAGGAGGGAGGCACGTCGCTTTGCTCGCGCGCTCCGCGGTCGATGGGCTCCTTTCCGCCAAAACCGCCCCCCTCCCCTCCCCTCGGCAGCCCCTGAACAGCAGGGAGGGAGGGGCGCGCGGGGGAGGAATTACCTGCGCGAGCCTCCACGTCCCTCCGTCCCCTGGCAACCTGGTTTCCTTTCTTCCGTCTTTTTTTTTCGCGCGAAAAATCCAAGCTCTGATTGACAGGACGAGAGACCAGTCCTTGATGTCATAATCTCGGGCCCACCACCCGCGGGCGGCATGCTGGGAAAGAGAGTTCTCCGAGGGATTCCGACGTGCTCTCGTTCGTCCATGGCGTTGGCGGGCATGGTGGGAAATGTAGTTCGATTGTGGAGAGCCGAGTCTTTCCCTGGGGAAGACTTCTTCAAGTTTTTCTGCCTGGGAAAGAATCGGATAGATAGGAGAAGTGGGTAGGGGCAGGATTCTGAAAAGAAAAAGGTGGGGGGGGGGGACTTGACAGGAGTCCTAGGAAGGAGGGAAAGAAAAACGACTGGAAAGAAAGCAGAAGGTAGAATTGCCTGTGGGAGCACGAGTGTATGGGAATAGGACAGCACTCAAAGGCAAGTGGCAAAGAGAGGGAGAGTAGCTAAGGAGAAAGGCAGCAAAGGCCATCACAGTGCACTTGCCCTCTTTCTTGGGGGATATTCAGATAAATTCTGGTAGGAAAATGTTGCTTATATGTGCCTTTGTGTTATACGATCAAACCTGTAGCATCTATGTGCCTCTTTCCAAGCCAGGCTTTTGTTTAGTGTTGTTACTTTAATAGACTGGAACTCTCAGCTCGCCTGAGATGCTGCAAGGGAAGTTAATCCCTGCCTATTCTTTTGCTGACAGCAGCAACAGCTGATAAGGCTGCCAGGTTAGTTTTCCAGCAGCATTGCAATCACCCTAACTTGCATTTTCAAACTCACAGCTAAGATTTACAATAATTTCTGCCTTCCTGAATTGTTGTTAATCTGTAATCAACACTATTGTATTAAGTCCCCTCTGCAGAGCTCTCACTTTTTTGACTGTGTTCTCACTTCATCATCATCTGCCCTGCTGCTGTGTACATGTGACTCCAAACCTATAAAACACTCTGTATATGTTCTATAAGCTTGGAGTTGGTTTCAGCCTCTACCTGAGAGCATGCTGTCATTAGTTTAATGCAAGAACTGGGCTTGTCTCACCAATAAAAGTGCTGGAGTTCAAGACAATTAGGTCTTTCCTGTGAATCTGAGTGTTCATTCCTTGCAACTGGAATTCCCGGATTCTGACAGTTTTCATAGTCCTTCTTGGCAAGGGTGGATGGGTTAGCAGAGACAAACAACTTGTAACAGTCCAAGTGTTTGTCCTGAAACTGGCATGACCCTTCATCATTGGCTATGCTGCTTAGGGCTGATTGGAGTTGTAAACCAAAACATCTGGAAGGCCAAGAGTTGCTCATTCTTGGGCTAAACACGCAGCACTTTCTGGCTTAGATGTGGGGAGCATATGAGTCACTGTTTTAATTTAAAGTATGTTGCAATTGTTTAGGCTAGGGAGTTCTCTGCACCTGATTCTTTAAACGGTGATGGGTATTTCATTGGCAGTCCATCGTTTTGATTTTCTTGACTACTCTGTGCTCATGGCATGTCTTCTTTTGAGAGAAGTGTGCTTCAAACTTGGGGCCAACCCCTGAATTGGATGGGCAGGGTAGTAGAGGACGGCCAAAAAGGAAGCAATTCTTGTCACACTAATTTCTTTCACTCTGTTGTCATCAGGATGTGGGCTGCTGGTTCTAATGGCTTTAAAAAGGAATTAGACCAATTTCATAGTTTGAACAGATATTACAGTATGAAATATGTAACTGTTTTGATTGTCAGTCAAAACCCTGCATGACCCAGTGCATTATAAATCTTAATTTCTATTATTTTGACAAAGCTATTAGTCTCATTCCTCCTAGGACAGTGATGGCGAACCTTTTAGAGAATGAGTGCCCAAATTGAAACCCAAACACCACTTATTTATCGCAAAGTGCCAACACAACAACAAAACCTGAAAACAGGTTTTAGTTCAGAAAAAAACAACTCACAGCCAGTCCAAGCAAATATATATATCCTTGGTAGAACACTGACCAGCCATGCGAAAGCTCAGATGAGTCGTGCATGGCTAATGAGTCATGACTCGTGACGTCATCGCCTGGCGCCACTACTCCTTTCCGAGCATGCACATGGCCCCTATCTGTGCTGTTATCCGATGCTCGGCTGCTAGGGCAATGCTGGGGTGACTTGGCTCGCATGCTGACAGAGAGGGCTCTGTGTGCCCGCTGTGGCACACATGCCATAGGTTCACCACCACTGCTCTAACCCTACCCTGGTGCACTCCCCTAACCCTAACATAGGGCTAAAGTTCAATTGAAAATAATGTGATTTTGAAAAAGCCTTCCTTGAGTAGCTGTTTCTGCACAGCTCAACATTTCTGTCCATTCTAAACACATTCCAAGCATCAAAATCATGCCAGGACACCTCGTTTTTGCAACCCTAACCCTGCCCTGGAGCATACCCGTAACACTAATATCGGGCTAAAGTTCCATTGAAAATAATGCGATTTTTAAAAAGTCTTCCTTGAGTAGGTTTTTCTGCACTGCTCATTATTTCTGCCCATTCTGAACACATTCCAAGCATCAGAATCATGCCAGGACACCTCGTTTTTGCAACCCTAACCCTGCCCTGGTGCACACCTGTAACCCTAATATTGGACTAAAGTTCCATTGAAAAGAGAGAGGTTTTTAAAAAGCCTTCCTTGAGTAGCTGTTTCTGCACAGCTCATAATTTCTGCCCATTCTAAACACATTTCAACCATCAAAACCATGCCAGGACACCTCGTTTTTCTAACCCCAACCCAGTCATGGTGAACCTTTTAGAGACCGAGTGCCCAAACTGCAACCCAAAACCCACTGATTTATCGCCAAGTGCCAACACTGCAATAAAACCTGAAAACTGAGGTGTTTAGAAAACACAACTCACAGCCAGTCCAAGCAAATATATATATATATATCCTTGGGAGCGCACTGACCAGAATTGCGAAAGCTCAGACGAGTTGTGGCTAAAACCTTGAAGCTCGTGATGTCCTTGCCTGGCGCTGCTACTCCTTTCCAAGCATGTGCACGGCCCCTATGTGTACTCTTATCTGATGCTCATCTGCTGGGGTGATGCTGGGGTGACTTGGCTCGCATGCCGACAGAGAGGGCTCTGTATGCCCGCTGTGGCACACGTGCCATAGGCTCGCCTCAACTGTCTTAGGGTAAGAAAATTACAATTACACGCAGTCCCCAAATTATGAATGTCTGAGTTAGGAACAACCTGTACTTTGAACAAACTGCCATAAAGCCTATTAATTTTAAAAAAATTACTGCAGAAAATTGTCATTACCATAGAGAGAGGAAGGGACTCCAAAGCATCACCATAGAGAGGAAACAAAAAGAGAGAGAAGGCGGCTCCCAAAGTACACCACCTTGTCCAGCCCATCTGGAGGGAAACTTCTACAGCATTTCCTTGCTGTAAAGAGGAGCTCCTGGTGAGTTTGGAGGAGTGGTGAGTAATATTTGCAATTTTTCCACTTTCATTGGGGTCCCATGCCCCTAACCCTTGCTGACTAAACGTGATCCAACTTAAATTCAACTTACAGATGAATTTTCATTTTCTCAGGAATGGAACTCATTCATAACCCAGGGCCTCCTGTACTCACACCTTTTTATATTAATTTAAAGCATCAGCAAGCAGTGGCCTAGTTTGTATATAATGACAAGCCAGAGTATGGGCTGAATTGTGGGTTTTCATTTAATGCTGGGCAGCTGTTATGTGTAAACCCTGCATTATGAGTTTAACTATGGTTTGTTAACTACAAAACACCCAGGAAGAGAATTTGTGGTTTGCTGTTGGGTTGAAAACTCAACAAAAACTTGACCTGTACTCGGAATTATGTGCAAACCATGTCCACATGACTTAAAAAACCAAGCAAAACCTCCAGAGTCCCTGCCTAATTTAAAATTAAGAAAGCCTTCTGAGCTTGAAATCTTTATTCCTAACTTATTTTTATTGAGATATGTTAGTACTGAGTTCTGGACTGGAAAAAGGAACACAAAATGGTTCAAAACCCCGTTGATAGCCAGCCCTGTTCACGCCTTCTGCTTTAGAATTTAATAAATGCATGAAGGGGAAAGCAGGAGGAAGGATGGGCATATTAACTTTACCCTCCTCAATTGCCACTTTCATTGCACTACATGTATGGAATGCAAATTTCTGCAATGGGAAGACTTTGCTATCTAAAATTGCATAGGAAGCTTTCACTGAAAGAAAAGTTTCCCACTGCAAAGGTTTTTCTTTGACACGTGCAGGGCAACAAGGATCGTGGTAGAGAGGTAGTGGAGAGCTAGTGCAGGGATGGGTAACCTGCGGCCCTTAGTTTAATTCCAAGATCTCTTTGCATGTGATTTGTTTGCTGGGTAGATAGGAAGATGGAGAGCAAAAAATAGACGCATCCATTTTTGACTCTGTTTTTGTCTAACATTATCTTTAGCTGTGGCCTGCAGCAGAAAAAAGGTTGCCCATGCCTGAGCTTGTGTGCTTGTTCTTGCTTTTATGTGTCCATTAAACCCTAGGACAGTACGCCTGAATAAAGTTCAAATCAGTGGGTATATTTGATCAGGTAACAGAATGGCATTGTTTTCATTTTGTGCATTCAGGCACATTGCTTCTTTCTAGAGCTGACTGAGCTACTAAAACTGCATGAAGCATCAAAATCAGCATCTGTAATACTGTGGGCATTTCCTGGGAGAAGTCTCGTAAAACAAGGGGAAAGGATTGCTTAAGTAGGATTGCAAGTGGTCACAAGTCTCCAGTGCCCTGCTCGGCTTTGTACTCTTTCCCATAACTAGTAGAAACAAACCAATGCATGAAATAACCTAGTATGCTTAATAGCCTGATCCTTGGCAGTGTTTCATAGGATTGAATGGCATGATATGTACAGAATTGAGTTTCACAAGAAAATTTGAGCTACCTTGGTGTAGAATTTTGATTTTCTTTTACAGGGCAGCAGAAGGGAAATGGTCAGAATCTGCTTTCCTGGTTAAAGAATGTTGTGCTTGGACTTGCAGAACAAATGAGCATCCGAGTCGAACATCCTACAGCAGTTTCCTCCATGTATCTGGACCTTCTGACAGAGTGGGGCCTTTAAACTGCCCTTTAACTGTGCCTGCCTCTGCTCTCTTTTCTTTAAAATAGTGGTGGATCTTCAAAATTACCCAGTTCTAGCGGATAACAGTACCTGTGTGATTTCTTTCTTTTTTTTTTTTTTTGCACCCATCCATCCTTGGATTGGGCACTTTCAGTTGGCCCCCATGATAGGTCAGCAGTCAGTCTAGTGCTCTGAACTAGTTTGCTTTTACCCAAAGTACAATGAAACCAGCAATTATGTATCAGGTCACCAGGTTGTGTGGACTGGCATTTGATGCACACAATATGTTCCTGGCCTGGCAATGGGTACAACAGCTAGCATTCCTCTTCTCCCGTGATGTCTTGAAGCCTGCTGGGCAGCAGGCTGGGGTCAAAAAGAGGTTCCCCGACCCAGAGGCGTACAGCGAAGATGTGACGGCAAGGCAGCTGGTGAGCCAAGTAGATGGAGCAGCTGCAAGTGCCCAGGTCCTGGCTCACCAGGAAAGAGCAGGTGCTTTCTTCCAGCAGGTAGCCATCAGATGCTTCCTTAAGCTCATAGTGTGCATGGGGCACCAGGTCCAGTTCCTCTGCTACCAGGTCAGCAGTGTCTGGCAGACAGGCAGCATGGTACAGCTCAGCCACAGGGGCCACATGGAGCATTGATGTCTCCACATGCAGGGCCTGCAGATCCAGAAGGCCCTGGACACAGGCTGCCAGAGCCATCGGGGGGCTGAGCACCGTCAGCAGCTTACAGCGATGCATGCTGAGATGATCAAGGAAAGAACACTCTCGGTTCTTCTCAAAGGCCCAGCACTCTACCCACATGCCTTTCTGCGAGTGCCAACGCTCTAGGAAATACTGCAGGAAGGGGAGTGGGGCCACATCCTCCAGGTCACTCAGGTACTGGCTGTAGACATGCGGCGAATTGGCATTGGCCAGGTTGAGCAGCAGGTTGCGGATCTGGTCTTCCTTGGGCACGCGGAGTTCACAGGCCTTGCGGTAGAGGGCCTCCAGGACCTGCAGGCGGCAAATCTGCACCCGGGCACATGGCAGCACCTCCTCCACTGCATCCAGCCCTGTCACACTGGCCCCGACCGTGACCACCTTCACCTGCAACTTGATGTCTGGGGCACTCTGCACCAGGGAAGCCACAATGAAGATGAGGAGATCAGGCAGACCCTGGCGGGCTAGGCAATAGGCCACCTCCCGTCCACGCCCATTGGCATCTTGGCACAGCACTGTATACAGCTCAAAGTCTGCGTCCAGGCAAGCAGCCCGCTCCAGGAAGAGGTGGGCAGGGAAGCGGTGCACCAGCTCACGCATGTGTGAGGTGGCAAGGAAGATGCTATTGAGGACAGCCACGTCCTCCTGGAACACCAGTTTGACTTTGGCACCCACGTCGGCCTTGAACAGTCCATCCAGAATGGCCAGGAGTTCACACATGCCCTTGTCTCTGGCTTTGCTGTAGTCCTCCAGATCACAGATCAGTTCTGGTGCCAGGAAGCGCTTGGAAATGCTGTTGGTGATGCGGATGGGCAGCCCCAGGTTGGCCCTCAGCTGGTGCCGCTTGAAGTGGTGGGCAAACTCGAGCTCTGACAAGCAGTGGTTGTGCTCCAAGTTGGCCTCGATCACTACCAGGCGGTCCTTCTTGGGGTCAAGGCGCAGTGTGATGGTGGCAGGACAGTCGCTCTTCTCACTGCTGCAAGAAAGGAGATAGGGGAAAGGCTCAGGACGTTTGGAAGCAGAATATGGCAGGAAGCCAGTGTGCCACTAATGCAGATCTTCAAAAGGATGGCAGTAAAAACTTCCATTTCCTCCTTGTCACTCTGTGTATGTTTTTCCCTAAGGAAGCAATACACTTCTTGGAAAGGTAATACCTGTGATTTCTAAAAGTAATGTTCTCTGATTTAATTGAAAATGGTAAGTATAACAGGCCATTTCTGCTGGGAAAACAGGGCTAGCTCTTACTGCAGATTCATTCCAAATAGCACCCCTTAATTCTGGACTGTTAATGTATCAATTTTTTTGAACAGATTTTGGAATACAGCTCCCATTAGCCCCAGCTAGCATAGCCATTGCTCAAGAAGAATGGGAGTTACAGTGGGGGAAACTAGGTTGGGATCACTGCCCTATTGTCATAACCTAAGCATGTGCAATTTGAAACAACTGCATATGGTTTGCGTATCTCCCCCCTGCCCCCCCCAATCCTTTCTTCCCTTAATTTCTTTGAGGGCAAGCTCCTTGGGGCAGGTGCCTGTCCTCTTGCCCTTTGTAAAGTGTCATGGACACTGATGGCACTATGTAAATAAACATCAAACAACTTACAGGCAGTTGCGTTGCACTGTGCTTTGCCCTACATAGGTCCTGCTGTGTTTGCAGATGAGACGCACAAAACGGAAGCGGAGCCTCTCGGCTAGGCTGGGCTGATAATATGGTGGGTCCTGGGGCAGGGAGATCAGGGGCTTCTGGTTGGCAATGATGAACAGCACCTTATGCTTTTCACACCAGTCGTCGAAGAACATGCTGAACTGGTGCCATGTGTGGAACTCCCTGCCCAGGCCTAGGTCCCCCATGGTACCTGTGAACCGGACAGCAAAGTCAATCACATCATCTGATCCCCTCCCACCCCACTCAGTTGCTGTGCTCATCAAGAGATACCCTCCTGGAAGTACCCAAGCTTCTGGAGGACTGCTGCATGGTTTGTTGGAGAGAGAAACTCCAAATAACTCTGGACGCATGCTGTGGATTCAACAAGCCATCATGGCTTGTTTAACCCAAGGTGACTCGATAAACCAGGTCACTGAGGGAGGGGGTCTATTCAAGGTGTCTTGCCCAAGGGTCCCCAAATCTGTCGCTAACTCTGTAGGAGATGTGCCATTTTAAGAATGAGTAGCCTGAAGGAACATGAATAAATATGGGGTATTAAGCTCATGAACCATAGTATGCTTTTTAGTTACAGCATACGTGCCTCTGCTACAGAGCTTCATCTAAAGAAATACATGCTTGTTTGTTTCATCTCATCATGATGACATTTCCTTATAGATGCTGATCCCATAGACTCATAGAATAGTACGGCTGAAAGGGGCCAGAAGGCCATTGGGTCCAACCCCCCCTTTATGCTCTATTAATAGTGACTATGTGCAAATTACTAGCATTATCCAGTCAAAGTTAAGCTGCATGGGTTCCAGTGAAAGAGTTTTAGGCTGAAATCCTATATTCTCACATCTGGGAGTAAACCCTATTGAACTCAGAGAAAGTTACTTCAGTCATGTATAACACTGTGCTGTACTATTTACTTAACAAGACAACTCAGTATCTTTTCTATTTGGTTTGTAAGCCCCACTGAATTCCATGGGAATCCAGGAAAGCACTGAAATCGGTAGAAGTTGCAGCTCAATTCTGTGCATTCTTTTCTGGAATACTAACTCCACTGATCATAGTGCTATTAACTTCTGAGTAAACACTATGATGTTAAAATGCTTGATTTTGGCAATATCTCCTGGGAAAGGCATGTGTTTTGCAATTCGATCTAACCATACATATTACTTAGAATCCACATTGGGTTATTTTTCAGTATTTGCTAGAAATCAGATTTGCAGAATACAGCAAATTCTACCAAAGTAATTAAATTAGGTATTTGAGTAAGGAAGCTGGAACAATATTTGTCAAACAGAACATACTTGGAGGCTATGACATCTCAGCATTGGTGATTGTGAGTTGCATCCATCATTAATCTAACTTTAAATCTCATTCATTTCAATGGCTCTACTCTAAGTAGAATTAACACTAGTTATCCACCTGCAACAAGAGCACATAGTGACAAATTAATACTGTACCTACTGAAGCGGATGCTTCTCTGGTAAACTATGATGACTTTCTACCATCCAAATTAGAAATAACCTAAAGAAGAAAAAGATTTACATATGTAACAAATATGTATTAGGCGGTACAGAGATAAGTATTTATCACAGAGGTGGTATACAGCCCACTAAAAAACAAAAGGCAATCTTGACAAACATGCAAACAGTACTGACAAACATGCATCCTTTTTGAAAAGCTTGCAGAGTGGGGCCAAATATTTTAAAGGGCGGAATGAGAAAAATCTTCCAGGTATCCCCACTGAATGCACCTCCTCAATGGATAGCATTCTAAGAAGGGCTTCTCCTACAAATCTTCATAACTGGATAAGCCCATAACAAGACAGGCAATTCCTTAGTTTACCAAGTCCTACGCCATACAACCTTTAGGTTATAACCAACACCATGAATTGAGCCTGAAAAACAATATGGGGGTATTTTGATTTATTTATACCCATCTGGAACAACTGCCCTTGTCAGGCTGCTAGTGCATCTGAATCAAGGTTCTAAGAAGCAAAGGATGTGATTTCAGTTTGTTATAAAAGTGATGGTGATAACTTATACCCTGTGCAACTAAGTTATCAAAATATTAACATAGAACAAGAAATAAGACATGCCTGTGTACTTTTGCATTTCTGCCAAAGGCACATAGAACACAGGAAGCTGAGCCCAGTACTGTTAACACTAACTGCCAGGAGCTCTTCAGAATTCCAGGCAGGAGTTTTTCCACAGGAAACACCAGAAACTGAGCCTGCATGCAGAACAAGTGCTTTGCTACTGAGTTATGACCCCTCCCTAGATAGCTGCCAACTGGGCTCCTCAAAACTAGCCAGAACCTAAGCATCTCAAAACTGAAGGCAGTTGGTGTATATAAAGAAGGCTTTTACCCTGCAGAAATCTGATCCTCACTTCCAAACCCCTAGCCTGTGTAAAAATGTGTGTGTGTTGATTATATACACACATACATGCAGTTTTACTTACCTGTGCATGCCCACATGCAACATAGAACTTACATCATAAACTAACACATAAATGTTTGCATTCAATACATAATGCAAAAACATATTACTGGGTGATGTGCACATAGTGTGGGAAAGGGGCAGATCTTTTATGAATATGTGTTTGAGAACTCAGTAACCCCAGAACCCTGTGCCCCGGCTCCCATGATCCGGCTGCAAAAAGCGCACCCACATGTCCCTTGGTCCCGCTCCCTTTTCCCCCTCCCACCCCCGAATCATACCTGGCCGGCTGTCGCCCTACCTGCTCCAGCCACTTTGGCTCCTTCCCTCTGCTAGCAGCAGCGGCCTGCAACAAGGCCCGCCCGCATCCCAACGAACCCTGCGCTCCGTCTCCCGCTTGCTGATTTCGGCGGGGGGAAGAGGCGAGCCGCGAGCTCCACCTGCTGGAGCTTCCAGCAAAGCAACCCACTCGCTGGAGAGCAGCACCGCACCAGCCAAGTCTTGGAGATCCCCCAGTATGCGCTTAGGTCCCCAAGCCCCGTGTTTGCAGGGAACACGCCAAGAGGATATCCCTGAACATATGCAGAATGTTTTCCCCTCGTCCCCTCAGCTACTCGAGTTCGCGCATCGGAGATAAAGGCGGATATTAGCTTCCAGTTCAGCAATTGCGGCTGTCAAGGAGCCCCGACACCTCTGTTGGGACGTGTTGGGGCACGGCCAAGGAGCGCCGGGTTCGAATCCTTGGTCAGCCACGAAGCTCACCTCTCTCAGCTAACTGTCCTCACGGGGTTGTTGTGCTAATAGAGAAAGGGGGGAGGGCATCATTGCTCTACCCTGTTTCCTGAAGGACCGATGGTATAAAGATGCAGGCAAGCAATTGGTAACTCTTGATTTCTACTCAATGATCATCCTTTTTCTATTTAAGATGTTTACTCCAGATATGGAGAAAGTTTCAATGATGAGGAAAATCCACTTAGCACACGTTCAGGAGGCTCTCCACAATGATTGTGTCTTGGCACAAACAAGGAGAAAAGCGGTTCAAAACCATTTTATTTTCCAATATATTTAAGTCCGTCCCCCTTCTGCTCAGTACATCCACTCGTTTCGTTGGTCATCGCAGCCAGAGTCCTGACGAAGCTCGACCTGCAGAAATTCAGCAGCTATTACTTCCACCTCCTCTCAGCACGCAGATGCCGTGCTGGAAACAGCTGTTCTCGTTAAATTTGTGCCTGCCAAGCCGCTTGCCGGTGCATTTGTAGAACGTGCCGACTCCGACCCGGTTCAAAACTTGGCACATGCTCAGAGAAGCGCTGCCTCCTTTCCAGGTTGTACGGTGATGAAACAGACGCCCGCAGGGAGCATCTGACCACTGGAGGAAAAATAATATTTCTAGTTCAGCTTAGTCTAGTCTAGTCAACTATACTGTTGGAAGCGCTGATACTGGAGGAGAGAAAAGGCAGCCGCAGCAGCAACTCGTGGTATCAGATGCAGAGCAGAAACTCGTAGCAGCCAAAGCAGAAGAGCAGAAAGGGAGCGAGAGGTTGGCCTTGCCTCCTCTGAGATTGAATGACAAGCCTCTCGACCACTCGTGACCATTTAATTCGGGAGGAAGAGGATTAACCTTGCCCTTGCCAGGGGGTAGCAGGCCTTTGCTCGGTTCCTACCCTCGCAGCTGTGGAGTTGGGATGGGGTCGCTTGGTGGCTGCTGGTGGAGCTAGATCTGTATGTAGACAGCTGGGGTAAAGGCGTTCAGATGATTAGGCGGCGTGCAAAGAGCAGCAGGGGCATTGGAGGTATCCTTACGTGCTGGAGGAGCCAAGGGTCTATGGCTAGTGAGTGAGCGGGTTGCAGAACTTGCGCAGAGAGGGCTTAGGAACCCTGGGTGTGCATGGGGCCGGGGTTATGGGCATGCTCTCTACCGTTAAATGAAGAGAGGGAACTATCTCTTTCGGGGGGAGAGGAAGCTAGGCTTGTGGGTAAGGGATTTGCTCTTAGCCATTTTTTATACACCATGCATATAACACTATTTAGAATTGTGCCCGTCTGACAGTGTTTCCCCTTATATATTTTCCAATTTCTTAAAAAATGTTTGCACATATATAATATAAATAGCTATGGTTTCCCATGCAAATATTGAGCTATTCAATTTCAAATCATTGTATCATAAACTGTCCATGTATGATACATCACACAGCAAATTTAGTCATACTTGGGGTAGACTCTCCAAAATCAATGAAACTTAAGGGCATCAGGGCTAAGGGTGCAATCCCATGCATGCTTCAACAGAAAAAAGTCCTGTGTTGCATAGTCAGCATGTGAAGGATTGCATCCTAAGTCCCGTTTATTTCAGTTGGTCTCTTTAAGTATGAGTTAATCTAACCTGATTTTCACCCCTGCCTGAATTTCTTAAAGTGCCATTCAAAGCATGTCTGTTCAGATGTAGGAGTCACTCATTTCGGAACAGCTTACTGTCAAGCGTGTATGTGCAAGATTGCATCATCAGAATGACTTTTTCTTAGCCAAATTAAAATCTTGTTTTTCATTCTTGCCTTCCTTGAATTGCTGAATGTTTGTGACGATTTCTGATCTTTTCCATTCTCTTTCCAAATAAAAATGACAATTGCTTAAAGGTTTAAAGTCTATAAAGGCTTTAGGCCTGGATAGTAATCTGGTGTGTTGGAGTACATCTCCCATAACTCCCAGCCAGCAGGGCATTCCTTTGAAGCATATATATGTATCACACATAGGTAGTGTTTGTATCCACCCCTAACATACCAGTGTATTGTACTGAGTCTCTAAAGGCATAATCCTATGCATGTTTGGTCATAAAAGGCTTACAACTTCAAGTGTTCCTTAGCTTGGTTGGGGAAGGCTTGAGGATGCAGGACATTAAAGTGTCTGCACAGGCGTAGGATTGCTCCTTTATTTAGGTGTACAGTATGTAGACTCAGAATAGATTCTGAGTTAATCACTTGGGGTTGGGGGAAACTAGAAAAGAAAACAAACATATTAAGGTATTAAAAAGTAATTCAGTGTTCAGGCATGTCTGGTGGGTTTGGATGCCAACATGGTGCCTGAGCGTGAATGCATATATTTTGGAAAACAATGCAAGACTGAAGTGGGCACAGTGGCATGTCTTTGGAACATCGGAAAGGTTAAGTGTGAATGTAAGACCTGCACATGCAATGATCACTTGTGCAATTCTGCTGCATGCATTCGAAAAAGTGCAAGTATGGAAATTGAATGCCAGAAGGGGAGTTTTATGACTACCACCCATTGCAAGATATTCCATCCCAAGAGTTCCTTGCTGCCACCTACTTTGGTTTTATAAATGGTAAGACATTCCTCGCAGGTTCTGAATACAAATTTAGCTGCCTCATGGTAAGTGGTATTTGGGAAATGGGATTATCTGACTTTGGAGCTCAACACTGAAGTCCAGATTGGCCATAAGCTATTTTTTAAATCTAGTAGTCTTAAATTAGAGACCACACAACTCGTCATTTTGGCTAAGGCCCATCCTACCTTTGCAGCAAGTTAAGATGGTAGAGTGGAACATGCCCCTCCGGACTGTAGTTCTGGAGTTTTTAAAAATTCTTCTAAAACTCCCTGTCAATAATTCTGATGGGGTAGGACCCAAGGTGGACAAAAATCTCAGGATTTCATCCTGTTTTCTAGCATCTTTCTGAATTCCAAACTATTCAATTTTATAACCAGTTTAGTCACTTTCTTTCTTTCATTATTTGATTTTCAGTTACTCTTTGTCCTGTATCATCTTTATTGAGCAACAAGTCAAAAGGGTTGGTCCAAAGTCCTTCATAACTGGTGATACCATGATTTTGAAATGCTACCCACATTCTGCTCTGGCCCACTGGCAGGTGCCAGCCACACGTTCAACGGTGGCAAGGTAGACCTCCACTTCATCCTCCAGTGTACCCAATTGACTGGCATTAGGATACACATACTGGGACAGGGACATGTTCTGGGATGAGGAATTACTTGTTTGGTTGGGTTTACCCTCAGGATTTCTTCAGCTGTGTTCCACTCTTTGCTCATCCATGTTTTCTGGCTCCTCCTCTTCCATGTTCACCTCAACTGGGCCACATGTGTTCGTACAGTCTTGCTTTCACTCTCTGTTTCTGTTTAGAAGAGTCATCCTGTTGAGCAGGCTACGGAAGAAGCCAACAATGTGGAAAATCAGAATTCCTGGAGGAAATGAGAGAATGAGTTTTTCCTGCATTTAAATTATGCAACAGGCAAAGCTCTCTGGACAGTTGACTAAAGTTAATCCCCTTCATACACCATAAAATACCGTAGCTTAAAAACAAATTTAAAAACAGTAAAAGACCTCAGCAGTTGCGTGAACATCTAAAATTTGATAATGCATTGAAAAGCAAAGCCATATTCCTAAAAAGCATGGGAAAATTAAAAGCTTTTCACCTGGCCTTGAAAAGAGCAGGAGGTACTAGGCAAACACCAGCTTTTAAAAGACTGGGGAGTTTCGACTTTTTAAAATAAATATGATTACAAGTCTGAGAGGATGGCATACAATTTTATGGAGATTTAGCCAGAAAGTCCTACAATACATGCCCTTTCATCTATACATGCAAAAGGATTGTGCTCTAAAGGACTTTACACTGCCCAGGAAGCTTCAGCTATTGGGTGGTATAGAGATAAAATTAACAATACTTAATAAAGAAATAACTTATTTGCATCATGAGCTTAATGATCTGCCAATACCTTTAGCATTTGTACAAAGTATTTACTGGCAGGTGTCAATAGACTAATAATAAACATCACAGCTTTTTCATGAAGTTAAATTTGTATCTCATTATCTCAGTGATTTTTATAACGCTGGAAGGTAGGCCAGTACTACAGGAATCTCCATATTCCAGTCAAGCAACAGGTGGCAATATCTGCAACACCATGAGCTCTGTAAGATTTACTCCTGAGCAGGTATGCACAAGCCTGTGCTGAAGAGGAAATAGGGTCTTGCCTAGTAAGTTTATGGTAGATTATGGTGCAAGACAGGTGACCAGTCACTTTGTAGGATCATGGCTCAGTCTCTTAGCATCCAATTCTATTCCTGTTTAGATAGGAAAAAGTCCTACAACCCCCAGTATTCTTACTGGGGATTGATGGAAATTATAGGACTTTTGTTTTCATAGGATTGCACTCTTTGCTCCTACACAAGCTTTCCAGTTCACTGAAAACTGAAACTGAAGTGTGGGATTTGTTTGGAAGGCCCTAGGGGTTAGCAACCTTTCCAAATCTGTCTAAACAGTACATGCCACCAGGTAGATCTATGGGAAGCTCCTGGGTATTTTACTGACATGGCCAATATCTGCCATTATAGCACCTGAAAAGGGAGTAACTACCAAGGTGACTCACCCAGGTGTCCTAGTCAGAGGAATTTGCTGGGCAACTGACATAAGCTGTGCGATTAGTGCCAGGAGCTTCGCCCGGAGGGAAAGCAAAGGAGCGACAGCAACTTATTTCCCAGCATGCAGGACCAGTGAGCACAGGGTTAATTGCCCCTCCCCAACATTCCATCGACATTGGTTGGGATTCTTGTCAGTCATGGGGAAATCAGGACTGGTTAACCCTTTGCTAGGTTTATTTCCAATTTGAATGGCAAATACACTTCCCTTTATGCACTGAGATGTAGAAGAAAAGGTATGCTAAGTTTGCCTACAGTCTGGTTGTTGGGGGCTGTGCTCAGGGCTGCAGGACAAACACGGATAGATTTGCATATGCTAATTTCATGTGCTCTAAAGCCTCTGTCTTTTTACAGGACTCTGTCTCCTCAAGACAACCTTATTTGTAAAAGGGGTGCACGGATAGGGCAGTAGAAGGCATTTGATTTTAGAAGAAAACCTCAAGCAGAAAGATCCACGGGGAGGGGCAAAAAGCCGGCCTATCCAGGGAGATCAGATGCAACCAAGATAATCAGAGCCTTTGTACTTTTATTCAGCAAGTGCCTGTGGACAGCAGAGTGATGCGGCAAATGGCCTCCTACAGCTTTGTTCTGTGCTCCAACTCTAGCCAGCATCCCCCAGATTGGCCTCTGGCAAATGCACACCTTTACACACGATGTAAAACGAGTTGTGCTAAGTTGCCATCTTATACCTGTGCCTCTATAAATGAGTCCTAAAAGCACCCTCTCCCCCCCCCGCACCCTTCCACGAGCCCTCATTCCGAAGAACCTTTAATAATGCTTTCAACCAACTTACCAGGTATAACTGTCCTGTAATTTCCCCTTGATTTCCTACAGCTTCTACACAAAACCTCAAAACAAAGCAGACTTTACTATGAGGAATTGTTTGGAATTGCAGTACAATCCTATGCATGTCTACTTACAAGAAAATCCAAGTGACTTACAGAGAGGTGTGTGTAGAATTGAAGCCTTAATTCTGCTTTATGAGCCCATCTCAATACTGAACACCATCATATAAAGCGGCTCTATCCAGGCTTCCTGCATTCAAGTTAACTATAAACTTAGAGTTAATATCAAATTGAAGAATATCAGCCTCCAGCAAAGTTGGAACAGGAGGAATTTGAATTCTTATTACAACATTAAACTTTTTTAATGTGCAAACTACAAAAAAATAAAGCTTTAATAAAAATTTTTTACAAAAACAATTACTGTTTTCTTTAAAAAAAAATCTAACATTTACATTTGCAGTTATAACTGTTGCAAAATCCCAAACATGCAATTTTGGTATATCAACAGTGTTATACAGGGGTTAAAAATGAGTAGTGTTAGCCTTGAAATGTGTTTGACAGGCATGTACAGAGATCCAAAATACTACCCAGTGGGATTTTTAAAAAACTCTCTCCACCCAGTTTTGAATAGTATGCCTCCCATTTCTTATCACAAACTGCTCTTTAAAAGTCATCACTATTTCAAAAGCCATGTGCCTTGTGGTACAGAAAGCTGCCATTCAACAAACACAAGCCCAAAGTTCCCTTGGGCATATAAAGTAAGCTAGAGCAAGACAGTTCTTTGGATTTTACCTAGACTCTTGCAATAGTTTATTTTTTTTTTTAAAGGCAGGTGGGTTAAGGGAAAGGCAAATTCATGGATGGGGAGGGGGGAACCCACACCTCTAAGAGTAGAGGTGGGAGGGTTCCTGAAACAAATAATTATAATGGAAACATTCACGTGGACAAGAAATATCCTTGTAAATTCTTCTTATCGAGCCACTGTTCAAAACAAAATGCAAAGGAAAGTTGACAGTCCATGTGACAATTCTCATCCATATTACAGTATCAAATCTGTCATGCTAAAGGGCACTATGGAGGCACTCGATCGAAGGCCTGTGAGGTGAGCATCCATCACACGTTACTGGGGAGTTGGCCTCAAACCAGCAAAATTCTGACTATAGTGATTTGCAAAATATGATGGGATCACATCCATTCACATACTGTTCCAGGAACATCCACTGAAGACATACCGAGCTTGTAATAGAAACACATCCAGATGTAAAATGCATCAGGAAGGCACCAGGTTGGGAAAGGCAGAAATAAACAGCATTACTCCAATTATCCTACAAGAGTGCAATCCTATGCATGTTTAGGCAGACAAGTTGTACAAGCACAGCTGGCTGGAGAATGCTGGGAGTTGGAGGACCTTTTCTTTGTCTGAATGTGCCTTGGACTGTGTCGCTCCTGGTAAGACCCGCTTTCCTCAAAAGCAGGTATTCTGTTATTCCAGAATGAAATCAGTTATCCATAAATTATAGCCCAACCTACTCAGGTCAGTTGAGAAAGGCATATGAGCAGATGCCATTCAATCACATGCTGGTATTTTTCCGAAGGGGAATTCCTATTAATTTTGGTTACAGGTCCTGTGTGATGGACACATCAAAGCTCTTTGCCTATCTTTGTGCTCTCTTATAAGGACCTATCTCATATTGTAAATGTATTAGACCATCCCTCCCCTCTTTTCCTTGCTCTATGCTTTTGCAAATTAACAAACAAGCAAAGGGGAAGAAAAAAAAAATAAACACGTAACCAAATTGAGCAGTTGAAGGTGTTCTTTGCTCCGATCATGGTTAGGGAAGTGTGTTCTGGCTTGTAGAAAGTTCCAGGGCAAACACCAATTCCCTACAGTTAGGGGATTTCCTAAAAATTTCTGCCTACAATCAAGTCAGCTACATTTTTTGTCCCCACTTCATCCGAATCAGCTGAAAGACTCTCCTGTCTCGGGCATTCTCTGCTCTGTGTCATACTGCAACTCAAAGCTTCCCGTGCATTCGCAACACCCAGCCTTCCTCTCTTGGCCCCCTAGGCCCGAATTCCGCTTTGCATTTTTCCCACACAACCCGCAACGGCTCGACTCCTCCCGCACATGGGTTCTCATATGGTTCACCAGGTTGAACTTGTGCAAGAACCGTTTCCCGCATTCAGTACACTGGTGGGGCTTGACGCCCGTGTGCACCCTCCGGTGTCTGGTGAGGGTGGATTTACGAGAGAAGTTCTTTCCACACTCGGGGCAGGGGAAGAGAGCATCTTGCTTGTGAATGGCCTGCTTGTTAACCACTGGCTGCCTGTCGGCATTCTGGCGGGAAAACTGGGTTGGCTGCAAGTCGGGCAGAAGCCGGCTTCTCTGCCTCTTCGTATTTTCCTGTACTAGAAACTCTTCCTCGTTTTTGGCCTGGATCTCCTCACCTGCTGGATTGAAAGAAGAGATCCTATTTTAAAATTTGCCATTTCTTTTTACCGGTCTGCTGAGGAAAGGCTTTAGATCCTTTGTTCTTCATGAAGGAAAGTGCTTTGTGTGTGTGCTCCCCACCCCACAAAACAACCCCATTCAATCTGTGTCCTAACTTTCAAACTGAAGCCTATGGGGCTGGTGACTGTCTGATTTCTTAATTTTGTAAGCTAGAAATAAATACATAATATGATAAAGAGATAGCAAGTATGGAATCCTTGCCAGAAGTAATTTATTCTGATCTACAAGCAATTGCTTCTCCAGCCTCCCTAAATATGTGTAGATTGGCTGTGACTTCACGGTGGTGAGGGGTAGACATTTGAGGGTTTTTTTATCTGTACCTTGTTCATGGGTGAGGATGATGTATATGGTGCTTCCCTATCTTCAACCCACTGTAACCTTACAACAACCTTGCAAGATAGGAATTGAGAGATTGTGGGTGAGCTTCACAGCTAACTGGGGATTTGGACCTAAGTCTCCCTGGTCTAAGTCTAGTATGCTAGTTTTTTTAAATTTATTTTTATTGTGCAATACGAAAACAGAACTGCACCACAAGAGAAGGAAAAAATAAGAATAAAGCTAAAATATTAAAATTTTTGAATGAAATCTTAAAAGATCCCTAGTTTATGTTACATATATATATATATATATATATGTCCCTATGAATTAACATATAACAAAATGCTACTGATGTCAACAAAACAGTCCAAAAATCCATGTATTTATCCATTTGTAGATTACTTCTAAAGGTCACCCACTGACAAGGAAACTGTCACTGGGCATTGCCAAAACATATGAAAGAGAAGCATTTGCAGCAGTACACCTCCAGCAAGTGGTGAGTTTAGCTAAGTCTTCATCAAATAGACGGTGTCATGACCAGAATTCTTGTAATATCATTTTTTTTCTGCATTTCGCATAGCCTAATATCCATGACCCCTTCTAAAACAGATAATGATGCACTTCACTGACTGGGCAAGATAGTGTTCTCCAGTTAATTATTTCATTCTTGCTTGAGATGCTGCACATCGCATTTCTTCACTGGTATTACATATTTATAAACATGAATTGTAGGCTGATGTAGCTGTTTGTAGCCAATCAATAATACAGGCAGCTCTGCAGCTGCAAAAAGCAACAGGACCAAACCCAGATTCTAAATGTTTCAATTGTTTATATTAACATGCAGCTGCAACTGGCAATTTAATTTAGCATACAAAGTGGAAAATGGCAACAAATTATCATCAGGATCCACAAGGTATTCCAAAATAAAAATCAGTCTGTCCTTCTTAGTCTACCAAACAAGTTTTTTTCGTCAGTTTAAAAATCTGGATTTCCTTGTAAAGTTAATTTTGCCTGTGAAAAGATGTCAAACTGCAACAGATGTGAAATATGGCACAGCTCCCCAGCTGCACATTTTCTATTTTGGTATGATGAGAAAGGATGAATGGAGAAAGGATGCAAAAATGAGGATTCCAGAACTGACCAGAGAGAGGAATCTAATCTAAGTGGAAACGACTGAAATCTAGAGCAAGTCAACAAAGACACCCCACAAAAATTCACCTTCTTGATCAAAAAGTTGTTTCCTTTGCAAGGATAACCGTGGTGGAGTAGAATCCCATAAAAATTTACAAGAAAATTATACTTCCGGAAATACGTTCCAAGTATAAAAAAGGAATTATGTCAATCATTAAGTCACACTCATTCTCTACTTTACACACACTTAGGAACTCTCGACTCCATCTATTTTTCCCTGGTTCCCCTCTCATTCCCACACCCCTCTGCTCCCGTGGTCTTTGTATTCCAGGCAAACAAAATCCTTACCAAGGGAGGTGGAGTTCTCATTGACTTCTTCCTTAGCCTCTCTGCAGAGCATCATCTGCCTGGTATCCAATGGTACTTGTTCATTTTCTGGGAAACTCACGGCCTCCTCAAGCACATATGGCCCCAGCACCTGAAACAGCAGCATGGGCGCCCCCATTCAAGGCAGAAGGACACAAGGGAGAGGGAGGAAAATATAGGATCCATTAGGAAAGATAAGGGCTACAGGCAGAGCTGTGCTTTCCTGTTTCAGTCTCAAAATCATCTGTTTCAAAAATATGTAGTAAAACAACCTGTAAATCCAGAGAGCAAATTCCAGGCAGGGAATTCTAACAGATAAAAGACATTGTTCCTGGGAAAATCTATTTCTGCCTGCTGCTCTAAGGATTGCCAGTGGTCAGCTCAGAGGGCAGGAAAAAAACCCTGATGAGAGTGGCAAATGGCACAATCATACCTGTAATCCAAAAATCCTGATGTCTTGACCCTGCAGGCCCTGGTTCCAATACAACACTGCCTGGACTTCAGCCAAATATCTTTACTTGGGGAGTAGGGCAGGGAAGGAAAGAGCAAATGCTTTTTCTGTGCTGAATTCACAGCTGCAAAAGCCAGGCCTGTACAGCTTGCAAGTTGCCAAGCCAGACATAGCCCACTGATGGCTCAGTAAATCTGATCTTGTAGCCTGCCATGCTCAGGAAAAAGTAGGTATGATCAGAAGAGTTATTCAAGCGCCTGGCAGGCTGCCATGCATGCCCGATGGGCTCCATTAAGCTTGGTGCCCAGCATTCATGCCAGTCTGACACAAACCCAAAGAACCAGTTGTTCCAGTCGGGATCATTCTCTGTCTCACTCTCACTCACTCATATACCCTTTACTTTCCACACACCATCTGTGAATTTTAAGAGGATATCATGCGGCCTCTGCCTGTCCAGGGCCTCAAGTCACACAGGAAGCTACCTTTCACTGAGTCAGACCATTAGTCCATCTAGCTTAGTACTGTTTACCCTGATTGGCAGTAGCTCTCCAAGTTTCAGGCAGGAGCATTTCCAGCCATACCTGGAGAAGTCTGAGATTGGCCATGGCTAGCTTGCAAAGCACATACTCTGTCACTGAGCTATAGCCTTACATGATTTCACACACTTTGTTATCAGACTTGCCCTCTCCAAGGACTATACCATCTCTGCTCTGCTAGATAGAAATGAACCTTCTAGCTAAGGGAACAGATACAATTTGGAGAGAAGAGACCTCCCATTCTTGTAGAATTCATCTGGTGAAGCAACACAGAAGTTAATGAATTACTCCAGCTGCTTCTTACTGTGAACAATATGGAAGCTAAAGGGCAACCAAAACTTCACTTCTGATTGGCAAAATGTTTTTATGGTGATGGTAGGAATTTTATTTGTAAGTCACTTTCACTGTAGTTTATAGTAAAGCAAGATAGCTGTATCTAAAGAAAATGAACAAGAGCACTTTACTCCTTCATGTGAACCTCAGTTTAACCTTTTGACATGCAACATTATTTTCACACCAGGAATACCATTAGACAAATGGCACTGTTTATCAGATTTATTACAGTACAGTCAGTCTCTGCAAGGATTGAACCACCTTTTCATCAGCTCATATTCTTACATGCAAGGATATGTGTATTCTGGGACTGTGAACCCAATCAGCTGCAGAATTCAGCACCTTTAATCAGTTTCTTAAAAAAGAAACAATAAACAAAAAACAAGCACATTTCTGTGGGATTTGGCCAATGCTGGCAACCTCTTAGAAAACAAATAGAAAGAAACTGGGCTTTTCTAGGCTTCAGAGGAGGAACATTAGCAATAAACACAGTTTCCACTGGCTCCTTGAACATATTTTATGGTTTTGTTTGGGTTGATGTCCTCAAATGGCAAGGGCAGAAACTTGTTCTTTTTAAAAGAATGAAAAAAGGCGATTTCCCATGTTTCTGTGCAAGCTTCTTTAGCAGCGGTCACTGGTGCGGGGCAACCAAGACGCCAGAAAATGCCTCTAATGGGTACCCATCCTCCTCACTCTGTCCGTCAATGGAGCAAAAATTGCCTCATTGACTTTTATGGAAGGAGGTGGAAAGGGTGCCCAACTGAAAAATGGTTGGGGAGGGGGGAGAGAAGCCAACCCTCCATCAAGGACCCTTGGAGCATATTTTTCAGCAAGACACTCTTTCCCCGACCACTGATAATGGCAAAAGAACAAAGGGGAATCTAGACAAGTGGGGTGGAAGGAAACATGGGAAACCAGAGAAGGGGCAAATGAAAAGTTATGATGTAGAGAAGGAGCCCTGTGAAATGTTTACCCCTCCCCACATACACAGGCACAAATTTATAGTGGGGATATTTTTTTTTAAATGCCAGACATGCTCATGAGCTCCAAAAGGTACACTATCCTTGTGCCAGGTTCTGCATTAGAACTTATCAGTCCTGCCTCTTCCTAGACTTTCAGTTTCCCAAGAAAAAAGTGCTCACCTGTTGATCCCATCTTTCACCCTCTTGCTGCTTTAGCAGGAAATGCTCTGCCAGGGTCACTGCCTGGATGCAGGTTTTTGGGCGATACTCCTGGACCCAGTCCTGCATGTCCTCTGGCAGAATGGTCAGAAACTGTTCCAGGATTAGCAGCTCCACGATCTGCTCCTTGCTACGGCTCTCGGGCTCCAGCCAGCGATGGCAGAGCCCACGCAGCCGAGCACAGACATCTCGGGGTCCCTCGGCCTCTTGGTAGCGAAAGTGCCTGAAGCTCTGGCGCTGCCTCTCCAGGCTGACAGCATCTTCCCGCAAGATGGCGGCTTTCACTTTCCCATAATCCCCACTCTCTCTAGGATCCAAGCTATTGTAAGCCTGCAGTGCAGCTCCGTTGAGAGCTGGCACCAACCGGGTCACCCACTGCTCCTTTGGCCATTTGCAGGCTTCAGCCACATCCTCAAAGGTAGCCAAGTAGGTCTCCACATCTTCTGTCAGCGTGAGTTCTGGCACTTGCAGATTTCTCCATGCCGGGGACTGGACGGGTGTGAGCTCTGGGGTTGGTAACTCCTGTCCCTGGATCTCCCAGCGCTGGGGAGCCTCCAGACGTTCACTCCTAGTTTGCTGAGGTGTCACCAACCTTAGGCCTCCTCCAGCAGTTCCCACCTGCACAATTCGATAGGTTTTTACAGAACCCTCTGATATTCCCAGTGAGTCGGAGCCAGTTGGGTCTGGCTCCTTTTCCGTTTTCACTGATTGCTGCACTCGTTGCTCCAATGGTGCCTGACACTGGAGATATTGGGCCATGTTCCGCTTTGCTGCCATTTTCCTCCTCATCCTTGGGGCAGCTTTTGCGCTTCCACGGACTTCTGCTTGGGTTTTCAATGACCAATTTGCCAACAGGGGAGCGCTAAGAGATGGGAAAATTCCTTAATGGGGTGGGTTGCCAAGCTGGAAAGATAATAATCATACAATGTATAGCATACATGAATAAACTCATTAAAACGTTAATTTCAGCTACAGTATTAATAGGAACGCATGCTTTAATGAATTAATTGATGATAATAATAAACAAGGGCATTAATAACTGACCAGTTGCTGGACACACAAAGCAGATTTTTTGTGCTTTAAGTACAACTCTAATCAAATTGATCCAGCAACAAAAATTCTTATTCTGACTACATCACTGCTTTGTGAAAAGGAGTATAATGCAGTCTATGGGATTAAGTGACACACATCTTTTGATTAATTCTGCTTTAACAAGCCAGTTCACTTAAATTCATAGCTAATAAAGAAGATTAGCTAACAGGGAGAAAAGATCTATAACAACATGGATAAAACAAAACATTAGGGTTCTAGCTCCTATGACTTGGATTCTGTGCACATGTATCTGAACTCAGGAAAGCTCACTTCAAAGTAAAAATGTCAAATGACTAATAATGCCATCCTCTGCACATTTAGACAGAAAGAAGTCCTATGACATTATGACTTGTTGGGCCATGTACAGAATTGCATCCTTATTCTAAATAGCTCTTCAAATACACAGAAATGGTTTTCCAGGGCTGGAATCCCTGGGGTCACTGTGTCTCTGCCACAGCATAGGCCCACTTCAGGAATGCTAGAACTGTTATTACGGTCTCTCCATTTGCTTAGGACCCTGCAAGAAGCCTAGGACAGTATACAAAATACTCTTCCTCGTTTCCATGTTACCCTTACACAGCAATCCCATGAGGGATGCTAGGCTAAGTCCTTTACTAGCCCAAAGCTACTCAGTGGGACTTACAACCAAGTAGGGGATTGGAACCTCATCTCCCTGGACTCAGTCCAGCACCCGACCCACCATATCACACTGGCTTTCTCTTGAATGATTGATTTCTCTTCACTATTAAATGCAACAAAATTAAATCTGTTGCTTTAATCTGAGGTGCGGTCTTTAGGACCAAAGCAGGGATGACACATAAGACCAGCAAATGTTTTGCCAACATTTAGAAGACAAAATCCAGCACAATCCCACCCTGCTCCCTGTGGCAGTTCTTTGGGGCACTGAAGGAGATTAAAATGTTGGCCGAGGCCAGCCACTCCACCTCCAGGTAACTCTGCCAGAGCTGACTAACTAATGAGCAGGTCTTCTAGAGGGCACTGTGCCCCTCAAATCTGATCCAGAGATAGAAGAAACACACCCTCCTCCTTGAATTTACAACAGTGAAACTGGAACACTGAGAACATGAAACGAGCAGGTATGGCATGGCTTCTCCTGTGCTTCCAAGGCTTCCATCGTTCATCACTGATGGTGGTGCAGCTATTTTATAATAGAGAGATGCACTGGATGCATTCCCAAGTAACCGCAAGTCTCTTCAGCATGCACTGAATGCACTGCTGATCCATCGAACAGACATTCTCAGCATGGAGACTCAAAGTCACATGAACTAACTCCAGCTGGAGCAATTGCACAAATATGTAGGGTTCTCATTTTTCCCACTAATGTAGGTTCCATGCCTCAAAGCCTGTCACACAGAATTAAGCAACTGATGCTGCTTGTACTGCTATTCAATTCATTTGACTGTATAGTCATCAACCATTACAAACTCCAAGGAAAAGAATTAGAATCAAGATATCTAAAAAACTTGCTGTAGTTAAAACAAGAAAAACCTTTAAGTTTAACATAGGTAACACAATCAGTTATGTTCTGCTTAAGCCAAGTCTGCTCATTCCATTAAAAATACAGCAGCTTTATCTACTACCCTGTAGTCATTGTTAAAAAGCAAAGGAACCCTCTTTTCTGGAGATCAGACCAATTAACCTCTTTTTATCGCATATCCATTTCCTCTTACAGCCTGAGGTAGTGCCAATTAGAAAAGCAAATAAGAGCCTAGGTTTGGTTGCTCCTAAGTGATAGATGCAAGAATTAATGCAGAAAGCTAGTCAACTTGGATCTCTCTAACACTACACATAGCATTGGTTGAAATCTGGGAAAAATAAGTTTTCTTCAGTTAAATTTATCAATTCTGCATGGATAATCCTTGAAACCGGGTTCATATTTGAATAGATTATATCACTGGCTCACTGTCCTAAGACAAGAAAGTTCTACCGATCTAATTGTAGCCATGTCTACTCAGAAATAAGTCCTAATGAGGTTAATGGCAATATTCTAAAAAAAAGGGTACACAGGATTTCAGCCAAAGAAAATACATAATAGTCTACATTTTAACTCATCTGAAAGAAATAGGTGTTCAAGATTCCAAATTTCTTTAATAGGGCAATTATGCCTTAATATAAGGATGTAACTTTCTGCAAGCCAATTTTCATTTGACCCTGTGAACACATTTTTGTGAACTGATACATTTGGCATGGTCAATAACTTTAACCAAAAATTAAAACATGGTAATGTTTTTGGTTTTTTTTTTTAAATTGACCCTATTTACAAGTGCAGATACAATACTGGAATCTTTCTACATTCTTCTATGTCCCTTAATGCTTTATTTCAGGGGTCTCAAACTCAACTTACCCGGGGGCTGATGGAAGTAGAGCTTGGGTGAGGCTGGGCCGCATCAAGTATTCCACCACCGCGGTGGTGGTGGGCCGCTCATCCCGCAGGCGGTCCGGGCGCCGCCTGCACTTTGAAGGCCACAGGGCCCCTCCCCTGTGCCCTGCCCGTCCCGGCAACTGGCCCGCAGGCCGCGAGTTTGAGACCCCTGCTTTATTTGATATATAACTTAGATCTTCTAAGATATGAAGATCCTATAACTTTGGACCATAAACATTTCAAAGTTTAGATTCCTCAGACCTACAATGCTTTATCACCAGGCAATGAAAATGTTTAGAACTACATTTTTATTGGAACAATATTTTTTCTTTCACGTAGCAACCCTACGATGACCTGCTCAAAACCCATTCCAATAGAATCCATTCCACTCAAGCCATGCAAGGGAGCAATTTAAATCAATACCTGGATAAAAAATTGGAATAAGATCTGGAAAAAAAATTCTTACAAGCCTGGTTCTCAAGTATACGCTGGTCACTCAAAAAATGCCAGACCAGTCCAGTATCTTGCACACCAAGTACCCCAAAGTGTTCTCCACTGCTGGCACTAAGTTTCAGATGGCCAAGCACTTGCTTTTTCAGACGGCCAAGCTCTTTTGCCTTTGCATCCCACTCTTTCTGGAATGACTTCATCAACCTCCGCCCTTCTCCCAGCATGCAACTAACTAGTCCTCCTTGTACCCATGTGGTCTCAAGCCAATTTGTATTTCCCACGAACAGTTGAACGCCTGTGTTCAAATATGTGCCATTGGTGTGCATGGGAACAAAGCCTAGCCCAGGAGAGTGCATTGACTGCACAAAAGAAGGCCATCAACTGGCCAGACTGCTTGGCTCCTTTCATTTCCTGACCTTTGCCCAATAATCACCTTCAAGAAATTCTTGCCAATATAATTCAGATTTAAAAGCCTGCCGAGGGAGCGATTTCAAAACAACACAACAACAATGTGGACTGGTAAGAATTAGGTTACAGCAATGGAACGAGTAATTACAAGAAGTCAGATTGCAACCAAAAGTATTTTGCTCAGCATGGAAATGCAAGGGATTGGGGAAAAGTTTACCAGCTGATTTCTGCCTGTGATGCAGCTTGGATATGCCTGGAGCTTCTGCACCTAAAGAAACCAATGCATATTGACTGAAAAGTCTTAGTGGGGCCCTATCGTCAGAAGATTTAGCACTGCAGCCTCCGTTTCTTTGTAGTATAGGGCAAGTGCAACATGTGATGCGTAACTACAGCATGGGTAAAGCGAACTAGTCAAGAAAACTTACTCGAGGGATTCGCTGAGGCTGCAATTCTAAGTAAACTTTGAAAAAAATTCCTTCGAGATTAGAATTTGATCTTTTAAAGCACAGCCTGAACAAGCTATTAGCTTGTCTGACTAACCTGGGGGTGATAAAATGCAAAAGAGGGCAGACCTTGTATGCCTTAAGGTCCACCACAGAGGTCATTTTCAGGTTTTTCCCCAGAAAAAAAATGCGGGGAAGCTGCAAGATCTGAGAAATAATCTTCTTCAAGCCTATTAAGGTCGTCACAACCCGACACAAATGCTCCTGAGAGCAAATTCTGTTGAAGCGAGTAGGATTTACTTCTGAGTACGGGCGCATAGGATCGGACAGCACAGGTGCCTGGTCTTCCTTTGCATCTTGTCCCGCCTCCATCAGATTACACATAACGGGGTAATTCACAGCAATAAATCGTACATTTTTCTCTATTGTTCCCTGTGGTCCACAGCCTGTTTGCTCCTTTTCCAGTTTGATCTTACTGATGTTTACTCAGGAGCAAATCTCACTGCGTTCAGAGCGGCTTCGTCCCAGATAAGTGCGCACAGTATTGCCAGGTTATTTATTCAGTGGCTTGCACGAAGCTGCCGTCTGCCCGTGATTCTGGAGAGCGTCGAAACTCAACCCAGTGTTTATTCTCAAGATCAGGCTCCTGAAAGCATTGCTAAACCCCCTCCTGAGATAAAGGAATGCCCTGTCCCAAGGTCTCAGTCTAGCTAGTTAGGAACAGGTCTGGCAAGTTTCCCTTCACTGCCTATCTTAAGACCTTACTAGTGCATATTTTCTCCAAAGTGGCCGACATTTATACCTCTCAATAAGCACTGACTAATTCCAACACTCAACCCCGCATCCCACCCGTTTTCAGTGCCCAGCCTCCCGCCCCACCGCAAAGGTCCTCTTTCCACCCCTTCCCAGCAAGTTTCCAGGTTACACAGAACTCTTCCTCCGGCAGCGGATGAACTGCCCTGCCCATTCCTATGGTCTACTGCTGTTCAAAGCAAACAGTGGCGAGGACCAGGTACAACCGGTTCCTCTCGGGCAGTCAAACATCCAGAAAATTACAGCGGATGCTGCAGCTCAGGGAGGGGGCAACGGTACCTGCGGTGGGAGCCCTGGCTGAAATTAAGTTCTGCCCCGCAGCGTACACTGTGCACAAGTCACGGCAGGGTGGCTGAAGGGTGTAGCACTGATCTGTGTTTAGTGGTCTTGAGAATGCAACTTTAGCCAGTGTTGCTGCTGCGGGCTATTCTGCTTGAGCTTCTGCCGGCGGTTAATTTCCAAATCAAAAAAGAGGTGCCGGGGCTCAAAGCTGCCCGGAAACCACATCCCTCTGACCCGGGAAGTCCTTCCCCCTAGTGATCCCAATTGTCTGGAAATTGGCTGTGATTATGCAAGGGCGGTAGAAAGGCTCTTTGTCTATGCTCAGAAGCACGTCCCTCTTGCTTGCTCTTTCATTGGTTCCGATCGTTGAGGTTTCTGGAGTGAAAAAGTAGCTCCCGGCGCCGGGATCTCCTGAAAACGAAGTCCTAGTTTCTGCCGAATAATATGCAAAAGAGTTAAGTGGGCAGCACTTGCTGGGTCCTAGAGCCGTCCAGATTGTTTTGGAAGGAGAGGCTTTCTCTTCCTATAGCTGTTCTGGGACTGCAAGATTTTTCTGGGTGATTTAGCGGCCAAGGGGAAAAAAGGGTGCTTTGCTGGAGCCGATGATTAAAGTGAGACGGAAGAACTACAGTCGTATTCTGCCCGTAAGGAAGGGAACAAATTGGATTAAAACCAGCTGACTTTGGGTATATCGACTCCGAAAGAAGTTCTACTGAATTCAGTGAGTAAAGTGTGAGTAAGATCGTAGCGACTGGGACGGAAACATACTAGTGCATGCTAAGTTTGAACTGTTCGTTGCTGTTCTTGTTATGTATTGCTTTATTGCATTTCAGTACTGCTAATAGCCTAAGGCCTCTGGGCTGTTTACAGGATCATATAAAATACAATAGATACGCAATTAAAGTGTTTACATGCACTAGCAATTTTATTGAGTACAGATTGAGTTCAGAAAGGCTGCATCTTCTACTCCAAGGAACTAGCTTTTCTGGATTTAGTGTAATTGTGTTGCTTTTTGACGCTGCATTAAAGACTCATTCGTGTGTGTGTGTGTGTTTGTATGTACGTATCTATGTGAGTGTTTTTGGACTGAAAAGCCTATGAATGATGGGAGTCGAACCCAACACATCTGGCTGGCATCAGGTGGGGAAGGCTGGACTTAACACCGGTGCTCTCAGGGTCAATATAAACAACACTTAAAAGATGTAGCTAGGAGCAAAACAAAACAAAAGTGTTTTGTATGTTTCATTTTAGCTGTAGAGTTGACCCAAGGGGGACTGGACTAGACTCCCACTTTAGTTGTGTGTATGTTTATGTTTAATACACTTTAACCCTATCACCATCCAGCTCCCGTTGGGAAAATTTGGATAAATCTTGTCAGAAAAACATTGCTTCTGTGTGCTTTTGCATTGTGGAAGCAATCCTGTACTCCTTCTCAAACCAAGCTAAGTCATTGTTTAAAATGGCATTCCTCCCCTGTTCCTTTCTCTCACCTTTAGCTGTAGGTTACTGTAGATAGGCCATTTAGTCCAAATATACTTTATATACCATCACAATTATTAAATAATCATTGTTGGAATTCACAGTTTACCAGGAAGTATCTTTTGCTAGCCCAGAGGGCTCTATGTGCCCCAGCCATTCAGAATGGTGTAGATGCATTACTTAGGGTCTGAGTCTAGACGAGCTTATGAGTTCATTAATAGTTTCTCAGCAGCTTGAATTTACATGTCTAGGCAGACCTGGAGATGAGTTCAAGTTACTTGGCTGAAGTGTCAATACTCTGCAATTGGAAGAGTTGTAATCTCATTGTCACTGTATGATGGACTGACATTCCTTTATCTGTTCTGTATATGATGACACCAGAATCTTATTGTAATGTCTGCATTCCGTCATCAATTGCTCTGTACCTGTGTATGTGACGAGGAGGGTATAAAATACCCTATAGTTGTATTGAAACTTTGCAGTGAGTTCACCTCTGCCTGACCGGTAATGCATTATCGTGAGTCTACCGTGGGAACCTGGGCCAAACAATAAAGCCACAGATGGTCTGGATGCTTGATCTTTCCCATGAACCCGAGTTTTATTTCCTTCTCACAAATTGAAATTCCGGGATTTTCTGACACTCCCCACAATTTCTATTGCAAAATTATGATCCATTTCTGTATAATGTCTTACGTGATTCCTAAGTAAAACCAAAGGCACCACTTCTTCCTTGCCTTCAGTTTGGGTTAGTTCAGGATTTGAACTCAAAATGTGTCAGGCCCGATGCAAAGAAAAGCTCAGCAACAAAACCACGGAACCATAGTCTTAGAATAAACTTCCAGCAGTGTCTTTTAAACATCATTGGATTTCAATTTAGTATTCATGAGCATGAGAAGGGAAAGCGCTGTTCCTCCATGTTAAAGTAATAGGGTCCCCATCCTCATTCTTCCCTGGTCATAATTGGAGCAGGATATTGAGACGAAGATTAAGAATTATTCTTGGTTTAAGGTAGGATTGAGTTGTGGTGGGTGGATGTGTCTTCATCCTCAGGTTGACTGTTTGCCATATTTGGAACTGGAGAGGAATTTTCCCATGTGGGGGTGCACTGGTGTCAAATGCTTGCTTACCTGAAGTTTTCTGGGCCCTCATGGGCAAAGGGTTGGTTACCTAATCTGCTTCCCTGTGTCATTGTGAGGTAAAAAAATCCTGTGCTTAGTTGCTTGGCAGAATACAAATTATAACTATGTATTTATCTATTGTTTGATTGATTTTATTGATTTAAAACTTTTTTAGATGGTCCCTTACTGTAGAGTTGGGACGGTTTAACAGTAAGACAAAAAAACAAAAAACAAAACAAAACAAAACACAGCATCCTAATCAAATTCTTAACCAGTCAACAATAAAACTCATATTAAAATAATAGTCAAACCTTAAAATATTGGGAAAATAAAGGTTTTAGCCTGGCACTGAAAAGAATAAATTGACGGCACCAGGTGAACCTCTCTGGGGAGTGTATTTCACAATCAGGGTGCCACCTCCGGTGACTACCCGGAGAAGAAAAGGCCCTTCTCCGGGTAGTCACCTTCCCAATCTCCTTCAAGAAGCGGTCCCAAAGAAGGGCCTCTGCCCCAGATCTTAAGGGGCAGGCAAGCATATATGGAAGGAAATGCTTCTTCAGGTAACCAGGTCCTAAGCTGTTTAGGGCATCACCAACACCTTAAATTGGGCCTGGACTTTAACTGGTAGCCCGTGTAGGTGGTAAATGTCCAGTGTTATATGTTCATACCTGCAAGTCCCTGTTAACAACCTGGCAGCTCTATAATGTATATATATCTATAAACGATATATTTATGTGTATGCGTATACACCTATCTTAGGCTCTAGGGCAGAGCAGGGTAAAAAATCCAGGCAACCACAGTGGGAAAGAAGCTGCCCCTGGAAAATTATTCTTCAACACTTTGCTGAGTTTGGGTTGTTGGTTATGGAAGGGCAGACAGTGGACCCTTCCTCTTGTACTTGCCTGCCATTTTTATCTTTCTGTTGCCTCATTGCTAGGCAGAACAGTCACCTTTGTTTCTCGTGGCATGTCTTTACAGAACTGCTATTTGCCAGAAGAACTCTGAATGTGGTAGACAGAAGGACCTTGGCCATCGCTTGGGTCCTTGGCTCAGGGATCTCCACACACTAGTTCAGAAGGAGGCCTGTGAATCCAGGTTTGAAAATACATTGTTGAGCTACAAGGAGAACAAAGGCTACATTCTTGGGCCTGTCTTGGCTTCAGGAAGACCTACTGCCTGTGGTGAAGACTGAGTAGCAGGACCCAGAAGACACGTGGCCATGGCAGAGGAACACTCTGGGAGACAGCATGCCTGCTTTCCCTGAAATGCATTATGGGAGAGTATTGGACTGGAGCACACTCTTATTTCAGGACAGTGATGAGGTCCTGTTGGGCAGTGCGCCACATGAAATGACTGTGGATCCTAAATGTGCCCCAGGATCTTCTGCAACCAGTGGAATTCTGAAACGAAGTGACACAAGGACTTTCCTTGGGAGATGAGTCCATTTGGAAGAAGGGCCGTGATTGGAGAAAATGTGAAATGCTGCCCTAGAAAACACGCTGTTGAATGTAAGAAATTGCAGACAGGCAACTTATCCATCTAGTTCAGTGTTGTCTGCCTTGACTAGTAGCGATTCGCTAAGGTCTTACTCAGATATGGGTCTTTTTGACCACCTGTTACTAATCCGATGGTTATTACCAAAGATAGCAGGGATTACACCTGGGTCCTTTCATGTGCAAAGCAGGTGCTCTGCTACTAGCATGGATTACATAATTCTGTGTTATTGATGAATTGCTACCTGTGCACAGTTTCAAGCACCCTCGCAATTAGTATGCTGGAAGCAGGTAAACTGGCCATCAGCCTTGTCTTGTAGGCTATTCCAATTTGGGATTGATGCATCTTTTCTTCCTCAGGTCACACTGTTCACATGAGGGTGGAGGAAGTGAGCTTGGAGGCAGCAGCGACGATGTCGTGTACTGCACGGTGCAGCTTTTCTGGCTCCCAGAACCATCCTGGAAGTCTCCTGGAAAGAACCCCTAGAACCACAGCATGACCTGTGAACCCAGCGAAGAACCTCAGTCCCCACAGGAAGTGGGTAATGACTTGGTCTTTGTGTGGGAAATCCTTGGATCAGAACCAGATGACATGTAGAAAGAACTGTAATGACCTCTGACATCTTGGACCACAACCTCCAGCCAGCCTAGGAGCATGCCTTGTGGTTACTGCGTTGGGAACTGTAGTCCAAAACTTTTGGAGGGCACCATGTTGAGGAAGACTGATCTAGGCTGTCTTCTGCAAGATTGGGCAACTTGTGGCCCACCAGATGTTGTGGGTTGAACTCCCATCACTCCTAGTCAAAATAGCCAGTGGGGAGGGATCCTGGGAACTGTAGGCTAAAATACCTGTTTCTCACATCTATATTGTGGAAAATAGCCAAAAGCTGTTGTGTAGCTATTGACTCAGGAATCACACTGAAGTAATGATACTAACATAAAGTAAGAATATCCCCCTTTCCCAGCATACTCCGGTATCTGTGTTTCACTCTCCTCTCTGGTTGTTCACTGTTTTTACTTATCTTTGCATATTGCACCTTTTTTTCCAGGATGAAGACATTTTTATTCTCAGAACAGTTTTTTGAGTTAGGTTAAGCTGAGAGTTACTAATTGATTTCTCTGTGTTATGTTTTTTAAAAATCCCATGCTTAGGTATACTTATTTTTTTCCTGCCCCTCATTATCTTCACAATAACTCAGCAAGGTACATTAGGTTGAGAAAGAGTGACTGGCCCAAGGAGACCCAGTGAGTGTCACGGCCTTGATTTCAAGTTCAACCCTCTGCCAGCTATGTTACAGTTCCTCTCAATCATTATTTGCCCCAGGTCACCCAGTGAGTAGGGATTTGAACTTGGGTCTCGCTGTAACTCAGGTGTGGGCAGCCTGAGTTAAAGCTTCCAGGATGTATTAAGACCTGGAGTTCTGCCAGCTAGTGCCAGATACATAACAGTACCTGGGAGATGGGTGCAAATGAAATTTGTGAGGTTTGGAAGTTAGTACCAGGAAAACCAAGCAGAATTTTCTATTGTTAGATAGGATGAAGAGGTGGATATGCACACACAAAATGAGAAGGGAGCAGAGTAGAATGGGAAAGAAGTGCTGGTTGCAATGCAGAATATCAGAGCATGGCTGAACAAGCATAACAAGGAGCACTGTGGAAATATTAGGGGCCTCCTTCCTAAGTTTGTAATCCATGCTAAAAATGGCACAATACACTGGCCAGGGCATGTACCTGCTCAGGTGTGACGCATAGAAAAAAACAGCTGATACAGGCATTCTGATTTTTCTCATTGCATTCAACCTTCCTTGCAGACCTTCTTTCTTTGCTCCTTTGGGTTGCTCTGCCCTGGACAGGTTTCAAGAGCTGCTTTCCTTGAAAGGGGCAAGCTGGTTCAAGTGGGACACAAATCTGCTCTTTCGCACACCGGTATGCTTCTCGGTTCAGGAAGCCTTTCGAGGAGGTTTGTTCAGGTTACACCTTGTGGTAATTCAAGCCCTTCACTGGTATGAGCTCTAACTGGTTTAGTGGGTGGGTGTTGGGCTGCCTGCCCAGGCAACACCCCCAGGATAACACATGATATTGTTACAGACTTGTGATTTGTGGGCTTATATACAAAGGACTTTCTCTGGTTTACACTGGGCGTCTATGGGAAGACTGGGGGAGAGTTAGGGGGCTGCGCCGAGAGAGGGGTTCTACTTTCCACTCAGCCGTGAAGCTCACGGGGGGAGGAAAAATGACAGGGAACAGGGAACAAATTCATCATATGCCCACTTTTTGCTGCCTCTCCTCAATCCCCACAAACACTGGTAATGCAAGCTATGGGTCTGAATCCATTTTGAGCCTCTTTTTAATTACAGGAAGCCCCTTTACTAGGAATAATTTGATTGTGGTGATGGGAGTATCACTTGGATTTATTTGGTTTCTGAAATCTCAGCAGGTGCCATGATGACCAGCTGAGCTACTAATAGTCTACCTGAAGAGTTCTTGGAGGTACCCCAGGATCTATACAGGTGAGGCAACCTCCTCCGACTGGAAGGAGAACAGCTAGGTGAGCGGGATGGCTGCTCAGAAGCTGAACCCACTATCCAACGAAAGAGGGCCAAGAAGAGGTTTGAGGGTCCTCCTGTCACAAAGCACAGATGTGAAGGTGGTGTTGCAGTAAGCAAAGGACACAGGAAGCCAAGCTCGGCCAGTCTTTGGGGGGTGCGGGACCTCAGCAGAGCTGTGAGTGTGGGGGAAGTTCCTGCCCACCTTTCGCAAGGAGATCCAGCGGTGGAGCAGCCCCTCCTTTGCACCATTTGTGCGAAGAGATTCGCTTGGCTGTGTCACCTCATCACCCACCTGAGGGTCCACTTGGGCGAGAAGCCGTACCTCTGTAGCAAGTGAGGGAAGCGATACAAGGATACTTCCAACTTCTACCATCACCTCCTAGCCCAGAAGCCTTACCAATGTCTGACGTGTGGGAAAACCTTTGGGGATCTGTCCAATTTTTATAAACACCAAAAGAGGCACTGAAGAGACAGGCCTTACACTTGTGACCTGTTTGGAGACTGCTTCAGCAAGAAGGGGGACCTCCTCTCTCTCCAGGGAATTCATGTACCCTCTCTATATGGACAAGAGAGCTGAATGAAGCACGAACAAGCACTGGCTGAATTGCTCGATGCTCTTGCTTGCACGTTGTGGTATTCTGCCATTGTGAGGAGCATAAGCTGTTGATGAACAGACTAAAAAAATCAGTCTTTTTCCTTAGGTCACTTTCATCAAGAATTCAAATAAAGCATGATTATTGCCATCATTTAGTACAGCACCTCTTCAAAGAAAGGGAATTACAGTGCACCAAACCATCATTTCGCTATTCGGGTGTCATGTAAATTTCACCATTCTCTGCTGGAAGCTTGTGCTGAAACTGGTTACCTTGATTGTTCTCCCAGGCCTCCCCCCAAACTCATCTTCCTTGTGAAGTTGCAGGCTGAAGGGGACAGGTTTGGGCTGTACTCAAACCATGGTAAAACAAAACAAATTTGTCTGGGCAATTCTCAGGTTAATGTTTGTTTATTGCCTGGACCGTAAGGAAAAACAAACAAGCTGTAGCATAGAAACAACTTTGGAGAAGCACTGCTTCCTCTACTAGCTCATGTATGGATTTTCATGGTGTAAACTCATGAAATAATCTTTAAATGACCTTGAGTTAATACTTCACATTTTAAAAAAGTTTTATATTTACACCTTCCTCCCTAGTGATTTTGGAGATTACTTGATCACTTTTCCTTGTCACTTTTATTGTTGCCACTTTTGGTTGAGTGGCTCACAATGCAGGACATATTCTGGGCTTAGCTGCACTTTGTTCCCACTGAAATCAAGGGGAATTTATTCATGTTTTATGTTGATTTCAGTGGGACCAAAGGCTTGTGGAGAAAGGTCTGAGAACATGCCTGGGTGTCTGCAGATGGAGGACCCCTGATCAGAAGGCATTGCATCTCTTTTCTCCTTAGCAGATTTTCCTGTGGTAAGAAAAACAAAACCAGAAATGGTGGAAAAAAGTAGGAGGGCTGTGAGCAGAAGAGGTTGCCCGGGTGCCCTGTAAATTCTGTGAACGGGGAAAGGCACTGGCACAATCAAAGCTAATCTGGAAGCATCCTCTGTCTCATCGGGCATCTTCTGTATGTGCATGATGATTTAGTGTCCCACTGCATCCAGTCTGTCTGTTCTAATGACATCCATGAGCACAGACTGGAATTGTTACACTAAGATTTGGTTGCGAGGAGCAGTAGGGAAATCTGTTCGTCTCACTTTTACCTCCACCTCCTTGTGCATAAATAAACCCCAGAATATATATTTTTATGGCTTGGAAACTCCACAGAGGGTGTTCCAGACAAGGGTGTTTTCCTGACTGCCTTTCCCTGTTCACAGAATGTTCTGGTCCAGGTGGCATCATCTACTTGTGATGCTCCCAGGTGCCCTCCTAGCTGCTTCTGTCTTTTTCCTTAGCAAAGAAAATCCACAAAGAGGCAAAGATGGGATGCGTGCACAGTGCCTTCTGATTGCTACCTCTAAGAGCCCTTGTCTGAAGCAGCTGGTCTCTGGAAGGAATTGTTTTGGATTGGGTGGTGAGGGAACTCCATGTGCAAATGCCTGTAACAGCCCTGCCTGACCCAGTCCCTCCCTCAGTTCTCTGTATACTCCAAATCCTATTTTTCTACTCTCCCAGATTTGAAACCTGTGGGTGGACAAAGCAATTCACGACAGAGAAATGGCATGCAGGGAACAAATTTATTTTTATTTTTATTTGATCTCTATATTGCACTGTGAGCCGCCCAGAGAGCTTTTGGCTATGGAGCAGCATACAAATGTGATGAACAAACATAGTTGCTGATTCTTTAGTTCAAATCCACCCTTCTGAAACTTCTTTGATTGTGCGTTGTAAATAATTTGTAATTCTCTCCTAAGAAGTGCAGTCAGATTTGTGGAAGGAAGGAAGGGAAGGGAAGGGAAGAGAAACTGTGCCGCAAACGTATGGATTTAGCGCCCTCTGGTGTCTAGGTCCAGAAATGACTAGCTGTGCTAAAGCTAACCTTTCCTATGCATTTCCACCACTGCACCTTACGCAGGGTGGCCTGTCCTGCATTTGAAGGGATTTTCTGCGTGAAGCGCTGATCCGTTCAGTTGGATTTCAAGATAAAGAACTATCAGCAGGGAGAAGTGGGCTTTGAAGTTCCCCATCCCCACCACCTAGGCATCTGCTCCTTGTCTTCTATGCTACAGTGAGATGTACTGCATTTCCCTTTAAATTACAGTAACTTTGTCTACATTGTAGACAGCTGTAGAGAGCCATTTTGGCTAATGGGTACTGTAGAAACAAAATAATAAAATAAATGTGCATCTATATGGATAAAGCAGCAAATGTACACTGTGCACATTTCTGTCCTCTTTGGTGATGCATTTCCACTTTTCCTGGAAAAAGTGCCACTCTAATTGAGAGTAAAGAGTTAACCTATACATAAATAATAAAAAAGAGCTCATCTCAAATCTTTCATCTTCATATGGTCTGAGGTGCCTCATCTTGCCTAATCTTGGAAGCTAAGCAGAGTCTGGCTTGGTTGAAAACTGGATGGGAGACTTAAATGTTGTGAACTGCCCAGAGAACTTTGGCTATGAGCGATATAGAAATGTAATAATATTTTTTTTCAGTGTCAGGTTAGGATGACTCTCTTTTCAGAGGCTTTTAAAGACTTGCTTGGCCACCCAGAGCTTGAGAGGAACCACCAGGTGTTTTGCAGAATCAATATCTCTCCCCTCCCCGCCTCAATTATTCCTTGTTATTGTCTGTCTGTAGCTGTTTTAAACTTTTTATTTTTCCCTGATTTTATGAACTTTTTATTGTACTTTTATCATCTTCTTTCCTGTACTCTGCAAATCGCCCAAAGATCTTCACTGTGGGGCAGTCTAGAAGGGAAATAAATAAATCTCCAATGTTCATGTCAAGTATTTCCTTATGCAGAAGACACTATTTTAGGAAGGTACCTCTTTCCACCCTTCACACTCTCTAACCTCTTTGCCTGACCAATCCTCATGTTTACAGAGATCCAAATGTATAAAACATTTTTTTTTAATCTCAGTGCTGAAGTCACAGTGTGGAGGGAGGGATCGGGGGCTGTCCTAAGTGTTCTTGAAGAGGCTTGTAGGTTTCTGGCTGAGCTGGGATAGGTGGCAAATACAACGAAGAAGAAGTGCCAGTAAGAATGAGCCTGAAGACTCCCGTTTGCCAGCAATGAGCATCCTGTGCCTGATTTGTAAGTCACAAGAGCAAACTGGAAAGGATGGTCTTTCTAGAGGGCTGTAGGAACCCCTGGTACCAAAGGCATACAAAATGTGGGTTGGACTGGACTGATAGGGAAAGCACAGGGAAATTATTGCAAAAGAGGGTGAGGTTTGTATATTTGCATGTTATATGCTTCTCCTAAAAATAAATGAACAAAGGTACAACAAATAGCTGTAAGTGATAGGTAGAAAAAACTCAATTTGCTACATCTCCATCTGCAAAATATTATCAATTGGTGCAGCTCATGAAATGCTAGTTGAATAACAGTCATTCATGGCAGATAGAATTTGCTTTAGCCTATTTAAAACAAACATATTGGGAAAATGGTGAATGCCCAGTAAAATTTAGGCCCATTGGCTCAAGCAGCAAAAACATCAAAATATCTTTTGACAGCTAAAGATGATACTGGTAAGATATATTTTCATCCTGAAGATATATTTCTCAATTTTTATTCAGAATTCTGAAATATCAAAACAACATGTGGAAGCTGTCTTTTCTAATTTCAATCTTCCCTGTTTAGTTCACAAAAGCAGGTTTTTTTCCTTCACATATTGAAGAAATTTCAAAATCAGTAAGTGCTGTGCTGTCTTCTTGTAGGTATATTACCGACTGCTGTCTGGTGTTTGGATGAAGATACCCATGGAAAAGATTTAGAAATATGCAGCATTCCGGGTGAGCAGATGGGACAAATGAAACAGTTCTGCAGAGCTGTGCGAAATTGGCTTCTTTATTCTGCCCCACCTTGGTTGAGAATTATGGAAGTGGAGAATTCAAGCTTTTTCTCCCCCATTTCCATCCTGAAATTCCAACCTCCTTCGAATACACAGGGAAGGGGTTACAAAAGAAAGAAAATAAAACAGTTCTATTGGAATCAGGGCTGGTCCGCAACGTTTAGCTTCCTCAAACAAAGGCCCAGATCGCTTATCTTCCCATCTTCCACAAAGAAGCTAACTGGACTGTTTCCTTCTACATGGGTGATGGCATTAGAACTATTCACTGCATCTGAGGCATCAGGCTTATGTATTTATGTTGTTAATATTTATACACCACTCTGTGAAGACACAGACAAGGTGGTGCAAAGACTTCGAAACAGGAAAAATAGCAAGCAGTACAAATAAGAGTGTTAGCAGCTATGCAAAAAGCTGTCTTGGATCATGGGAACCACTGCGAGCCATACCTGTTCCTGACAGGTCAAGCTCATGTCTTGTTCTTTTGTCCTTTTAGGTGTCCTCCCGCCACCAGAGCTGTTCCTGAACATGTCCTCAGCTCACGTAGGGGATATTGTCTTGGCACGCTGCAAAGCCCCTTCTAACACCTCTGACATAAAAATATTTTTGTGCAAGGATGGGCATTCCCTTTCAGCCCAAAAGGGGGTCTCAGACAATCTTGTATACACTTTCTCTCTCTCAGTCAATGAACAGAGTGCTGGACTTTATTACTGTGGGTATCAGCACAGGCGTTGGAATAACCAGAGGCAGAATTCCATCCTCAGTGACGCTTGGAATTTGACTGTCCTGTCAGGTAAGAGAGCGAGAGTCAAGCAAACATTTGTGGGTGTGTGTTCGTCTGTGGTGACAAATCCTTTAGATTGATTTACTTTTATGCCTCCCACCCTTGTGACTGACGTTTCTAGTCAAAAAGGGCAAAGCATTTCTGTGTGCTGTGTGAGTGGCATTTTCACATTCTGATATATTCATTTTTTCTTCGAAGGGAGATTTTCTTCCTAAATTTGGAGAATTTTGTAAAACTTGGTAAATTCTTTTTCAATAAATGTGCTGGAGGAAACCCTCATTTATCTCATCTAGCTATTCCTAGCATGAAAGTTACCGTACTGTACCTGCCTGCCACATGGATTTTAAAAGTGAGGAGCCTCTTGGAACGAATAGGTGGCAGCCTGACTTAGCTTGAATTAGAATTCAAACCCACACTTTTGAAGCGCAAACACTCGGAACTGTGGGCCTGGTTGGAGGGAGCAATGTGTTTGCATGTATGCATGCATGGGTGTTCTTTCTTCATTCTGAATATGGAAAAATTGATAATATTCAATAATCAAATTCAATTGAATATCAATATACAATAATTTGATAAAATATTGTCAAAACTGGGCTTGTTTAAATTTGGCTGATAAAACTTGATTTGATGAAAAGTACCATAGGTACCAGAAGTTAAAAAATCATGCTTTATTCAGATTGTGGCAAGATTTCAGGCAGGTGAAGATAATTTAGCAAGGCGATAATCTTGCCGAGGGAGGTTGACTTGCAATACTGTCTCTGCTTTCTAACTGGGTTGTGCTAGTTATTGAGTTCAGCCAGTGGTACCAAGCTATGGATGAGTTTATGCCAACCCCTTTGGGAGCCCCGGTTTCCTTCCCAAGCCCTCCATACGTGTCACAAGGTGCAGCAGTGGCAGAGACTGCTGAGAGTAATCTTTGGATGCGTGCAAGCTTTTGAGGTGGAGGCCTGCATGCATGTGAAATGGAAAGGGCTGAATTGTGCTGAAAGAAATTTCAGCGATTTGATGGCTGTAGCTGCAGAGTGTTGAGAAAGGGTTGGGAATGGTCAGGAAGGTCTATGTATCAGGTCATTCAACATGGTTTGAGCAGGATTTCAATTCATAACTGACAGGCAGCTCTGGATTCCGTGGAGAGGCAGGGGGGAAGGTTGATTTCTTCTGGTGGTTCGCTGTTTTGGGGTTGCTTTAGTTTACCTTTCTGAATTAAGCCATGAGATTTAGGTAATTGCTGCTGCACTTCCTTGCCAGTATGGGTGGCACAAATAAATGGGCCTTAGGGTTAAACCAGGTGAACAATTGGTGCATCTACTCAGGATCAAAGTAGATGCTCAGCCCCAGATACACAACTGATGCATTTTTAAGGAAGCAAATTGCTAGCATGGGAACCCAGACTCTACTGGGCTCCCAGCATATCATGGTTGGGCATGTGGGCCTTAACATTTGGCCCCCATTCATTCTTGATCTAAATCAACTCCCTGCCCTTGTTATTTGTCTTAGGGATTCTCCCAGTGGTGTCAATGGGGGATTTATCCCAAGCAAGCACTAGCTCAGGAGATGGCTTTTCCTTTGCAACTGTGGCAGAGGACGGCAGGGATAAAATTTCCCTCCATCCCTACTCTGATCCTACTAATTTCCAGTTCCATTACAGGATTAATTCTGAATGTTTTAAGACTGAGTTGAGTTGAGACTTTAACAGTTAACTTCATGTGTGGACTAGCTGTCAAATGTGCAAAATTCTGCTCCTCTGTTCTAAGCCCAGAGGCAGATCCATCCCATGATCTTCACTTTAGAACTGGAGATACTTAGGAAGACATGAAACTACTTGTGTCAAAAATGATATGCACTGCATTGAATACCATACACTGATATAAACAAACAAATGGAAGCTTATACCTTCCATCTCTGTGACTGCACTGGTTTCTTGAAAGGTTAAGCAATGCTTCATGAATTTCCAGAGTGGACTGGATGAGTGATAGCAGCTTTTCTCTGTTGCAAATATGGGCTTTGGAGTGGGGGAGACAGTTCTGCTCCCTCTCCCTGCTTGCTTCAATCCTAAGTATAATCTGCCTTTCTACCAGCTACTATTTGTATTTAAAAAAAATGTGTATGTCAAGCAAAACAACAAATTCAATATTTCATTGAGTGTGACAGTAAGTGCGAAGTTCTGCCCTCTGAGATGGTCTGTGCAGTGCTGAATTAGGACTGTTAACCCCACTTAGAATTGAAACTTTTAAAAAAGCATTTCTGCTGGGTATTTAGCTCATTTAACTCTGCTCCAAAAGCAATGGCAGGTACACCAAAAAGGAAAACTGACTTCTAAACCTTTGTTCTTACAGGCACAAATTGTTAGAAAAAAGATGCATGCAAACATCTGTCCTTCATTCAGGACGAATTCCATGAATGTTCCATTGATAGCATTCACTTCTCTGCACTTACACTGGAAAGCTAGAATAAATATGGACAGCATTTAAGTTCATAGACTACAAGTGTTATATACATTTTATAATAAAATAGTTAGATTTCTATGTTCTGGGTTTGTATCACAATAGGCAGAGAACTCCTATGCTCACAGTAATCCCGGGTCACAGATACGCCAGCAATCGCTTGCTCCCTGACGCTGCTCAGCTGGCATAACTGTGACACAGGACTGCTGCCTTAGTTTGGTCACTCCTGATTGTGTGTTTGCACAATACACAGAGAAGACGATAACACTCTTTCTTTCTGTGATCAGGCGCAGCAATACCTCTGCATATCTGGATTCTCCGCTGCATCATAGTGCTTCTCCTCCTGGGCTCATCATTCATCTTCAACTTTATTTTGGAAAAATGTTGCTGAAACATGGTCTGAACCTGAAACTTCTGAAACTCACATAAGAATGAGCACAATGCTTTGGAACCTATGTCCATCACAGTTTGCTTGAGCACCAGGCAAATCTCACTATATGTAGTACCATTATAGTAGGGCTGAGTGGAAAAAAGCTAGAGCACGTGTTTTAAGTGAGGAGGGCTGAATGGCCCCCACAGGCTCTCTGTGTGACATTTTCCCTTTCCCTTATTGGCAGAGCAAACCAATAGCACATTCGAGGTGGGGAGGCTGAATGGTCCCCACAGACAGTTTCCCTTTCTCTGTGTGGAAGAGACATGGAGCCAGGGCCTGGCAGGCATGGGAGGAGCAGCAAAGTTTCCCAGCAAGGACCAGATTCCAACTTGAGCACTCATGGGGTGGTACAAGTTGTTTCCCTGGGTGCAGCGTGCTCACTGATGAAGGGCTCCGATGGCCTGGGAAGAGGGGCTTCTCCCGGCACCAGTCCAGTCCCTGGCCACCTGCATCCCTGCTGGAACCCCCTGGCCCACGATGGGAGAGCAGCACACAGGCGAAGCCCCTCTGCAATCTCCGGCTGCAAATTGGAGATAGTCAGGAAGTCTTTTGATGCCGAGGCAGGATTAGGCCTGTGGGTCAGCAGTTCCCCATCACTGCCATACAGTATATAGGTGCCAGGATCCATCACCTGCACTATCACATTTCTTTGTGAAGACAGAGTAATTTGGATGCATGGGAAAAATACCGTTTAGAGAAACAAATGTCCTCAGAGGTTGTTGCCCACTGAGCTCAGTCCCCTCCCCAAATCCTGACCCTCTGGCCTTTTCAGCTTAATTTTCATCAAGGACCTGATGGAGAGTCCCTGCACCCAGCCTCCCCTGCACACTGGGGCTCCAAGCAGGTCACATATTCGCTTCCCACTAAACCAATATGCAAAATGATTCATAAACCCAGTTGGGTTGAATATGATGTGGTTGATGATGTGGTTGTTTCCCACAGTGGTGTCACCTCCTTTAGTCCCCAGATCAACTGGCTGTTTAAATCAGTGTGTGGTTTGAACCACTCAGATAATTTGAACATTAATACCAGTTTAAGTGAAATGTTTTTTGAGCTGCAATGGGAAAAGGTAACATATTTGAAAGCAATGCACCTGGTTTTGCACTGAGCCCATAAATAAATTAAGACAATCAACCTTAGGCTAGATGCTACCTGGTTGGATGCTCTTGTATGATTCTGAGATAAATGTTTGCAGTGGGGCATCAGTGGAGATGGCATGGCAATAAAGCAAAAATGTGTGGATGAATGGACAAATAAAATATGTACTTCCTTCTTGGTCACTATATATTTCTTTGCCTCTTGCTCCAGCTCCTCTTTGGTTTGAATCTGCTGGCTGGCACTCTTTGTTTTCCAGTTGTTCCCTCCTCCTCAAGTAATGGCATGGAAGCTGAACACTGACTTTCCTATGCCGTTCTTGCATTCAAAGATACCTCTCCCAACATATCCTCTGAGAATGTAGATTTTTATACTTCCTAGCAGGAATAACAGCAATAGGGATGCATGAACTCAGGAGGTACATCCAGCTTTTAGTGAACATTTCCTTCAAGTCCTACCAAAAGCTTAAAGGCTTTCTGTAGTCCTTTCCAGGCTCAGGTCAATACCTCCTGACTTTCATCATCTAGTTGTGTTCAGCATAGGACATTCCTCTGTTTGAAAGTCTGCCAGGGGACCATCCTGTATCTGAAGGGCATTCCTGTCTAATTCTGGTTTATAGAATTAAACCCATCAATTACCAGCACCTAGCAACACATTGGTCACCTGATCAGTCCTCCACATTATATTTGTATTGGAATTATAATAATTGGCAACACCTTACTTGGCACTGGAGAGCCTTGGGTCAAGAGGGTTGTCAGTGATGGGGTGATTTTGGCTTGCATCTTCACCATACCTCCCGGGTTTCCTTGTCTCACCAGATGGCCTCTTTTACACAGAGTGGTTCTCTATTTGAAGGGCTACCAGAGGACCACCTCTGCTCAAAGAGCAGACCTCTTCAATCCCAGCTTGTAGGGAAAGAACTGTTAACCCTATTGCCCATCAGCTATTGAGAGCATCAACTGAGAGCCAGTGCAGTGTAATGGTTAAGAGCGTGGCACTGGGACTCGGGAAATCTGGGTTCCCGTCTCCACTCAGCCATGGAACCAACAGAGAGACTTTGAGCTAGTCACAGACTCTCAGCCCAAACTACCTCCCAGAGTTGTTACTGTGGGGTGTTTAAAATTGGGAGCAGGAGGAGGAGGATGGTGTCAGCCACTTTGAGTTCTTTAAAAAACAAAAAATGGGATATAAATCAAATGAATAAATAGCAAGTGATGGGAGAGTGAACAGATAGGTACACAGGTCTCCCTTGGAGAGCTGTACTGTATTTTCATCCACATTGCAAGAAGAATTTGCACATTTGCATGGGTATGTTTGAATGGGCTCACATCTATGTTATGGCTACTGTTGTCCTCTTTTGTCTTCATCTTTGGCCATTCGTAAGTGGCCACTGTGGATGATCAGGGGATGCCCATGAAATCTACTGCACTGCACTGCACTGCACTGCACAGAGTCTCCAGAAGTTGGGGCAGAAAGCCTTTTCCACATACAGCCTGAGCAGCAAAGCACTAAACCATAGTTTAGTGTTTCACACACAAGCAGACATGGGTCACGGGCTCCTGTGCTTCCTCTTCTCCTCTCCTCCTCCACTGTGGTTTTGAGGAGACTGGAGGCATCTGCTTCTAGTATTGCCCTAACCCAGGTTCCCTATCATGTTGCATCAAATCAGTGGAGCTCCTGTAGTTTGGACTTCATGGAGGAAAGGATGGAAGATCTATTGGCACATGATAAATCTTTGCAGAGGCATAAAGTTCCAAGTAGGCAGCAAAACCTGGAAATACACTGAGCAACTGATGGGCTGCCCTGCATGGCACATCCTTGTGTTCGGCATGTCACAAGCCGCATAGGCCTGACATAGAACAAGCCATGCTAATACACAGACCACATGTATCCATCTACTAACCTAGCATGGAAAAAAGCATGGGAATTGGCCTAACACAAGGGTGGTATGAAGCATCCTTTGCCCAGATATCATGGCCTGATTTTGTTCAAGAGTCCTACGGTCTTTTCCAAATCCATACAAGAGTCTTCGAAGTAAGACAGGTCTTTCAATGGTGAATATAGTAAGCTAATTCTATTTTTTTCTATTTCTATATTAAATTTGAAGGTCCAAGCAACTTTTCATTCAACAGAAAGCATTTTGTTTGATGTGAAATGGCTGTCTGTGTGTGCCAAAGTCAGGGCATTTTCAGCATCAGAAGAAACAACACAACACAAAGCAAAAAACAAAACATATTTCTCTGAAAGCAGCTATAGAGAAGTATATAAGGGCCAGTCATGAGTAAAAGGGGTGCCCTAGTTGCTAGGTAATTAGATGTATTATCCTTAAATTATCCCTGTACATGGCCTTTGGCTAGCTTATTGAGAATCTGCTTTAAAAACAGCCATGTGTCCTCCATGAGCTGATCAGTTAACCTACAATCATGCACAGTGCTATTTAAAATAGACCAACAGGAAAGCTTTGCCTAGAGGAAAATAATGTTTGGGACATGTCCTCTCTGTAGGGGCTCCACAATAAAGGTCCCTGTCCCTGCATTCACCTTACCTCTAACCTCACGTTTGCTGAGCTAATATGTCCCTGCCCCCTTAGACACTCTTACAACCCATGTATGTTTGGCCTCTGGGAGCATAAACCCAACCCCAGTGGCCTGCTTGAGGTTCAGCCTCTCCTGTGTGTATGTGTAGATATATGGCAGGAGACAATGTGGTTTAAAAAACTATATATAGAATATTAAACATGCATTCTCAAAAACCTCAATGGGGGAAAATAAAACTGAAAATAGAGCCAGGCATGTTGCAAAAATGACCACAATGGTTCAGTCTAAGGTCCATTTTAAAGCATGCACTAATTTTAATCTTCCTGAGACAAACCGAAAAGGAATGACGATGACAGCCCTCAGACTAGGTCAGAGCTGTCTGGAACGGCTGCTTGTTTCTCAAAAATACAGGTGAATTGGGACTCCATCAGATGAGGATTGTTTCACCATATCTCTTTAAGGGGAAACCTCTTCAGATTATGCCTGACCTTTTCTTTGCAAGAACCCCATCTTTCACTGTTCATTCTTTATCTCATTCACACTGGCTAGGCCAGGTCACCAGATCACTGCTCCTGCACCCAAGCCTACTCAGCTTGCCCCATGGCCTGGAAGCCTGTCCATGTGGAACTTGGCAAGCAACTCATATTGATATGAATTATATACACATGCTTCAGTTGCTACAGCACAAAATCCAGTGGAACAAACGCCATCAAAACTAACAGACATAACCATCAGGGGATTCATATGGCCAGGGAGTGCTAGGTGCAAAGCTGCAATTCTTTCTTATTGGACATGTTAGATAGAGGAGTGTGAGGAATCCACTTTGGGAGGAAAAGCCACCAGATTCCCTGGTTTCAGCCTCCCGGTCCAGTGTTCCCCAGGAATCAAGCCTTGTGCTCTGCAGAAGTAGTTCCCTTCATTCATGTGCATTGCTGCTGATGGCAGCAGCAAGCGGGGATGAAAGCTGGCCCCTGGGAATGGAGGCTGGCACATATGTCCACATACGTCCCCTGGGAATGGAGGCTGATGTTCACTGCGTCCCTTTTCCTTGTGCATTGGTGGCGGCAGCAAACAGGGAAGAAGATTAGGGTTAGCAAAGCTCAGGAAACCGAGGCTCAATTTGGATGCCAGGAAGCACTTCCTGACAGTTAGGACCCCAAGGGTATGGAATGGGCTTCCACAGGAGGTGGTTGAAACCCCATCTGTGAGGGAGTTCAAGGATAGGCTGGACATGCACATGGCAGGCATGTCATGAGTGGAACTGGCTGGAGCTGGGCATCAGACTAGTTGGCTTGGGAGGCCCCTTCTGGATTGCTCTGTTTCTATGTTTCTAAGGTTGATTGCCATGCAGGGCAGCTGGGAAACATTCCCAGTTGCACAACTGAGGTTCCATGAATGCTCATGGACTTCTTCCAGGCTCAGCTTCCTCCTTAGAGAAGGGTGTGTGCTGGAAGAAGTCTGACTGGCAGGTGCAGACAGGATTCCAGAGAGGTTCAGCACATCTCTGATGACAGATCCCACCGTTGTTGGCTGATCCTTCATGAATCCTTCAAATGGCATTCAAGGCCTAGGTTAGTAGTATATTTTATTATTTTGCTATTATCATAATCACCATCACCACCACCATTAGAGATTTGCATATTTCCCTTTTCAACAATATCCAAAATGGCTTACAGTCATTCCCTGCAGCCAAGTTCAGCAAAAGAAACTCAGAATTGCCCAAGCAGGTAGAACAAGTAGAATTTCCTGGCTTGGTGAATAATGCTGTTGTTTTAATTGATAAATGTGGCAGTGGAGGTAGGGAGAAGACAATTTGGATCAGAGCCAGAATAGTGTATGTGGGGTTCTTTCTTTGACCTTCTATTTTCTTTCTTTGACCTTCTACTTTCCAGTTATCATCACCCTCCCCAAACAGAAGACATCTGAACTGCCTTTATACATATTTTCAACAACGGAGAAAATAGCAGTGTGGGGTTGTGTAGTTATTTTAAACTGGAGAACTGAAGGAAAGATTGTCTGCTCTGGCTTCACAGTCTCAAATTGCTCTTCCCCCACACTGCATCTTTCTTTGACCTTCTATTTTCTTTCTTTGACCTTCTACTTTCCAGTTATCATCACCCTCCCCAAACAGAAGACATCTGAACTGCCTTTATACATATTTTCAACAACGGAGAAAATAGCAGTGTGGGGTTGTGTAGTTATTTTAAACTGGAGAACTGAAGGAAAGATTGTCTGCTCTGGCTTCACAGTCTCAAATTGCTCTTCCCCCACACTGCATTTTCCAAATTAAAAATCCAATGGCAAAGTAATTTCTCACCATGTTACAATCTGTGACCCTCCCAGAACTATTTGGTAACCTGTTTTGTACATTTTAGAGAACTCTTTTATGCTATGCTCCATCACAGAAGTTGCAAGGATAGAAGAACTTCTTCCTTTTGCCCTGAGGAACATCAGTGGCCTTGTCATCCAGGACCCTTTAGGTCCTCTGTTGGGCAGAGGGAGAGCTTGTTGAGTTCCGTGCTAAAAGCAATTGAGTTCTATGGCTAGATTTGCAATTGTTATTTTGGTAGAACAAATCATCTTATTTCTGTAACTGTTTCTGACAGTGAAATATGGAACGACTCACTAGATGGAGTGGTGCAAAG